AGACAGATGACAATTGATGCACAGTCAAGCAGATGTGATCCAAATGTGGGGTTGTGTGGCGCGGAACCATGAGGTCCCGGGTTCGAATCCTGCCAAGTCACCAACCTTTGTGTCCTTTCAATTGGCAAAGGCACTTAACACAACTTTCCTCAAATCGCTCAAGTGAAAATGAGTATACCACAATAAATCATTTATTTTATATCATGATCCTAACCAATAAAGGAAAACAAACAAACCAAACAAACAACAAAATAATTAAGTCAGTATAGACTAGCTAGCATTCTCCTCACTTACTTCATCAGTATCTATAACATACCCATATGTCCTGAAACGATGTAACCAGCAGGTACATTGTACCTATTCACCCTCTGACAACATATATTCAGGAAGTCCCGCATGGTTGGACAAGTCCCATTGCCCACTTGCCCAGGTCAAGTTAAAGTACAGTTCGGGCATGTAAATATCCCCCTGTACTTGCCCGATTGGGTAAGTAGATTTTTGGGATGTGGCATTATGACCTAGTGTTTGGAGCAAAATCTCTCATCATTTTCCCATAATGTATTCCCATAATATGACTTTTTATCAGGGAACCATTTGCAAGTCTCAAACCTCCTTACTTTGGAAAATATTGGTCAAGCATAGAACATTATAAAGTGCTGAGTTTACTGAAAAAATTTCTTTGCGGTAAAAATGTATTAAATTTCGAAATATGTCATTTATATTTTGCATAATGGGCAAGTAAAAAGTTGGTTCGGGCAAGTAGAAATGACCATGTGCTTGCCCGATGGGGCAAGTGTATTTTTGAAAACTTGTCCAACCCTGAGTCCCCATTTTTTGATTGCTCCAATCCTTGACCTTGAGGTCATATCTATCCCGTCCTCAGCTTGCCTTCATCAGTGGTAACCCAGGTGGTGTGGGTAAAACTTCACAGAGCTGGGTCCAATCTGCCTGGTCTTTATTGTCCCATTGATGAGGTTAATTGAAAAAGTTGACCTGTGCCATACAGGAATGGAGTCGGGACCCATATAGACGCTTATAGTAATATAGACAGTTTTAAACTCACGTCAGCAGACACTGTAAGTGCAGAAACTTTTGCAGTGAGCTCTTGCTGCAAAATATGTAAATAGATACTGGTGGCAAGCTGTATACATTGTACTAGTAAGATAAAGAGGAAATGCTACACTGCTTTTGAAGTTTTCTGCAAGTCAGGTCTCTCCATCCCAACTACATTTTGTACTTGTGCATTGATAGGAAATAGCTCTAAGCAAAAATGGTGTAAGTTATGGCAAGAATCGTCTACTAAATAACAGATTTTCATACACACATGTACATGTACATGTACAAGTATCCATCTCTCTTCACTTTTCTTTTCTATCATTTCTCTTCTGAAACTTCTCTCTGAGGCAATACTTACGGACATACAAAGTACTTTATTACATGGATAAACAACTGAGCACAGCGTATAGATTCAAGATGGTTTTTTTGGTTATTCGCAATTAAAATCTGACCTTACAAAACAACAATATATTAAAAATACAGGTTGACATTCTAAAATAAGTTATATATAGGCGCAGGATTAACAGACCAAGAAAAATACAGGTTTCAGGATATATAATTCTTCAGGACTACATTTGATACAAAACATTGTACTAACATTAGTAACAAGACAGCAGTCAGGGTTTCAGTCCATAGTTATTGAGTAGTTGAACCTTGAACGGTATGGGCGAGTTTTGTATTATGAATATACAATATATCACTTAGTTAATGCCTACCTTATATCAAAGCCGGTCCCTACCTCCAATGACCTTGTCCTCTTATACGGTACCAATGCAATAAATCTCCCACTGTTTTTTTTTTTTCAATAACGTACTAACGCTGCAATAAAATGGCTTTCTACCTCCCGCCCCGAAGGCTTAGTCAATGTTCAATTTGCAAGGGCCATCAATATCAAGGATTGTCGGGTCGTAAAACTGGAGATATTAGGTCCCGCGGGGCGTGTGGATTATCCTCCGATGTACAGTGCGGAGTTTGATTATTAAGGGGGACCAGCCAAGTTTATGATCAAGGTCTTGATGGGTTCAAGGCTTAAGTTAAATGTCTTGACGTCTATTGCGTGCCATTGCAAGAGGTGGTTAATAGTATTCCTGAAACTGAAGTACATATTACAATGTCTCCTATTACTTTTAAGATGGCACCTGACTGACCTACATGTATGTGACACGTTGGTTATCAATATGATGGTACATGTAGAAGACTCCAGGAATAATCCTGATGAGCATATTTTGAAATTTTGACATTCTATTTTTTATTTTATTTTTGGGACGGAAGTACTGTTGTGGACCGCTCTGGTTCACCGGGAGTTTCTGTGTTTCTTGTCCTGAGCAGCCAGGATTGGAAGTGAGCGGGCAGAGATTGGGTTTCAGTTGACTGACAGGGTTGTGACCTAGCATGCCCTGGGTGGTAGTATAATTGTTTGAGTAGTAATCCCTTCTATATGATGTAATTCAATCAGGTATTTTCCTATGATCATACAATACAGTTCCAATATATACTTTATTAAACCCCAAAACATTTCCTAAAAGTCTCTGACGTCTTGCTTACTGGTGGTGAACAAAGCCAATATATAGTCATGTATTTACTTGGCAAGAACCCTAGACCATAAAAATTAGGTCAGGTAGAAATCCAATATGTGTTTGTCTACTTTGAAGACAGCAACTTTACTAGGAAATGTAAACTTTGCAGCTGACGCATACTTAGTGCCACTTGCTCTGAGTCCTTGGTTGACAAATGCAAGTTAGAGTGATCTGCTGACATTTTAGGAACGTGATCCAGCGAGTACAAACACTCAAGACTCTACTAAACTTGTTATGACACATCTTTCTAAGAGTTTTTACTTCTAATACATAATAGTGGATTCAAGTGGATGAGTAATAATAATCTTTCTATGATGTATTTCAACTAGGGATATGCTGTGAAGATCACACAATACATATACTTTCGACCCATAAGGCTGCTCCAATTTAAGTCAACATACCAGGCTGGTTTATAATTAAAACAATAGATTTTGAACTTTTGATGAAACAAAGTTACATTGTTACATTGTAAAACTTAAACAACTAGAAAGAAAAGGACTTTCTTCAACCGTTCGGGCCAAAACATGTCTTTCATTTTGCAGTTGATTTAGTACCTAAAAATTTTTTTTTTTGTTTGCAAATCAGAAAAAAATGGACAGAGCGAATCCGAAAAACAACAGATTAAATTGGTGTGGCCTAAAGAGTGATTGAATTAATGAACCCACTGTGTCTTCCGTATAAATTATAATAAAGACAGCATAGCCTCTTCTGTCAATTCTTACACAAACACGTACAAAATGTAACCCCATACTTCAACTTTATTAGGAGTGACATGATAGTCCAAAACCTGTTACCTCGCATGTTTCCATAACAGATTTGTGCAGCAAAAGTCACATCAATCTAATGCTGAAGTCACTCAACTGTCATGTCATCCTTCAGTTAATGAAAGGCATCTCTGTGCTTCAACAGTAGGAAATATTTCACTATCACAGGTTCTGGCCATATTTCAGGACCGAGTTTCAGCCTGGGTCATCATCCACCTGTTTTATCATATCTTGTTTGATGGCACAAAATGTGAAAGTCATGAATCAAATGTCTGTGTATATCTCACTTCCAATACTGTGTATTCCCATACAAGGTTTGTCTGTAAGTGTATTGTCTATAGTGTAGTCATATACAATTTGGGATGTGCCATTGCCCAGTGCTGAAATACTGGGTGCACCCAAATTTGGAGCTGTGCACCCAATTTCTTTCTGTGGGTGCACACCCCTGGCACCCAAATATTTTCATACTTTTATATCATAATATCACTCATGGTCCAGTCATCTGGCTATTAGACATGTGGAGGCTCACAAAATATAAATGCAAAGATGTGTAAACTGTTTTATATTTGGTGTTGACTGTCTTAGCAAATTGAAGTGAAGAATTAGCAACCACATTTCCAAAAGTCGGTTTCATGAGGTTGGTAAAGCGTAGGATATAGGTTAGGGGTTTTCTTTTAGTTTAAACAACCAGACTTGTCTCACCTTGCTGACGTTTCGGTGTCTATCAGACACCTTCCTCGGATTTTCTGACTGGAGTTCTGTTTCTACAATGTACATGTATAGGCGGCGAGAAGCAGGACTCCAGTCAGAATTTCTGAGGAAGTCGTCTGATAGACACTGAAACGTAAATAAGGTTAGACAATACGGGATGTGTACATGTAAAACTAAAAGAAAACCCCTAATGGAATATCCCAACAACTACTAGTACATTTGTAAGCATTTCACCCAACCTTTTAATTTCTTTGCACATGATGTACTTGTAAAGTGGCTGTAGTTTGACTTGTTTGATCAGGGTTGGACAAGTCCCATTGCCCACTTGCCCAGGGCAAGTAAAAGCACTGTTCGGGCAAGTGAATATCCCCCTGTACTTGCCCGATTGGGCAAGTAAATTTTTGGGATGTGGCATTATGCCCCAGTGCAGTGTTTGGAGCAAAATCTCTCATCATGTTTGCATTATGTATTCACATAATATGACTTTTTGTCAGAGAACTATTTGCGAGTCTCAAACCTCCTTACTTTGGGAAATGCTGGTCAAGCATAGAGCAATATAGCATGCTTTTTTTACTGAAAAATTTCCCTTGCGGTAAAAATGTACGTCATTTGTATTTTGAATTGGGCAAGTGAAAAGTTGGTTCGGGCAAGTAGAAATGACTATGTGCTTGCCCAATAGGGCAAGTGGATTTTTGAAAACTTGTCCAACCCTGTTGATGTTAAATAACAGAACTAGATTTCCTTGCAGCTGGTTGCATTAATTAGTACAGTATACAGAACATTGATATTTGTAGTAGTACTGTTGTTAATTATGCGTTTTAAATCTGTATATTAGACAGATACATGTATGTTCAGTTTGTTAACAATTTTTTTTTTCTCTCTACCATTCCAGACCAACACACCACATCCATGTGCAAAAGCGTTGTACAGTTATGAAGCAGAAGAACCTGGGTAAGTATACAAACCACAGGTGTTAATCTTTTTGTCACTTCTTCATGTGTGCAAGAAAACAAACAAACAAAGAAACAAACAAAAACAAGCAATCAGAGATGTCAGACTTTTAGGAAGTATTATGGATTTTTGTGACCTTCAAAGTCCACCCCATTTCCTGTGTCTGACCTTTTGACCTGTCAGTCTCCCCCCACCCATCTGCTGTCAACCTACTCCGTCTAGAAGAAGTAACACACAAACCCACAGCTAGCTCAGCCACCCAAAACAATACTTCCATACCTGGATGTAATTTTGTTGGGCCACACCAATTTAATTTCTTGGTTAATGGATTTTTCTACAAAAATAATGGAGCGAGAGGGCGAAAAAAAAAATAAAAACAGGCCTAGGCATCCTATTATGGCCCCAAATGGTACGATAGGAGCCATGAAGTCAACACACCAGGCTGCTTCAAAATTTAAACAATGAATTTTGAACTTTTAATGATACCATTACATTGAAAGATGGAATAGCTCTAACAACTAGGATGAAAAGACTGTTTTCAACTGTTCAGGGCAAAATATGAGCATTTTGCACTTGATTCTGGATTTTTATTTTTTTTGCAAATCAGAAAAAAATGAAGCGGGCAAATCCGTTAACCAAGAAATTAAATTGATGTGGCCTTATTGCCAACCACTTCTTTTACATGCAACATCTTCCCTGTAATCATAGCATTGTTACTGAACCACTCAGTCTAGCTGAAATAAGGCCTTAGATCCTTTAAATCATGACAAGACAAGATACTGTAAACGCAGAAACTATTACGCAGTGTTTTTGCTTTCGTGGCTGCCACGAATCCATGACACTACAATTTGTATTCCTACTGTATTGTAATTACAAAATTATTTCAACTGTGCGTCGATGAAGGTTAGACATCCAGGTAATACGATATGCCAAAAAACAGTTACTCAAGCAACTGGATATGATTTTGAAAACGTCAGACGTTTCAGCTAGTATCCACTAGCTTTCGTCAGTGACTGAGAGACCAGAGGGGAAAGCAGGTTTATATACACAACCTGTTGATTGATATGCAAATAAAGTGAAGACAAATTTTTGGAAGTCGAAAAAGGAACAAAAGTCAGACAAGTCAAGACAAGATGATGCAAATTAGTCTGAAAGCTCCTGTTATACAGGACAGGAGCTTAAGTGTTGTCTGTCCTCGGGGCTGGGAGTGCCAAATCCCAAGTGCCGGAAAGATCGACCCTTAGCCCCCCTTCCCTGTTGAGGGTGGGGTTGTACATTCTTTCATATATTGCCTCTTTAACACCCCGTTCCCACCAGCGTGTTTCGCGGTCTAAGACATCCGTGGACTCGAGTTTGAAAGAGTGACCCTGGTTGTGTTGTAGGTGGTGGAAAAAGCTCCTGTCCTGTATAACAGGAGCTTTCAGACTAATTTGCATCATCTTGTCTTGACTTGTCTGACTTTTGTTCCTTTTTCGACTTCCAAAAATTTGTCTTCACTTTATTTGCATATCAATCAACAGGTTGTGTATATAAACCTGCTTTCCCCTCTGGTCTCTCAGTCACTGACGAAAGCTAGTGGATACTAGCTGAAACGTCTGACGTTTTCAAAATCATATCCAGTTGCTTGAGTAACTGTTTTTTGGCATATTTCAACTGTGAATTTTAGAATACCATGAAAACCACCTTTTTCCTTCCCACTGTGAAACATAACCGCCGCAAAATTGAACGCATTTACAGTACGTGAAAGGCTTGTCAGGATTTGAAGTGCGCGAATTGTTAAGCCCCCATAATGTAGGATGAGGGAAAATGGGGTCACAGAATGTGCCAGGCTTCCTGGGGATGCAAGATCTAAGATGATAGAAGACTTATCCTTATTGGCCCATTTCTCAAGACACTTGAGAATAAAAGATAAAAAGGCTTGGTTGGGCCTCTTATTCTTTAGGACCAATTCCTCAAGGCACTCAATTCCACAAGGAATGAAAGATAAGGATTTGTGTCATCAGAACTTGAGACAAATCTTAAGTAATCTATGAATAATGCACAAATGATAGTACCGGTATGATTATGGTATATGGACTATCCAGTTGCAGACATAAATTCTGATGGGATTTGTATGATGCTGTTCTTAACCAGGGTATAAGTTTGATATTTCTCTTCTCTCTTCAGAGATATTTTACAGCTTATCTTGTCAATAATTGTCAGGCTCATAGCTTAGTCTGAAACAGAATGTGAAAAGGTACAGGATACAATCTATTTACACATTTGTCAAAATGGCTCAAAATGCATTTTTTGGAATAGGTGCACTGGTGCACCCAACCGCATCATCATCACCCAACCTAAAAAAAATGGGTTCACCAAAAATATTTTAGGTGCACATAAGATAAAATAAGTAGAATGTCTGCACAAACTATAATTATGTTTCATTTCAAGAAAAGTACTATAACAATGATTGTATTATTTTTTCTGACACTTAGATGTTAAGAATATGCTGTAATGTAACTATACATTTAACATCTATAAATACGTTAAACCTATGAAAATATTTGAGTGCACTGGCCGGTGTACTCACAGAAAAAAATTGGGTGCACAGCTCCAAATTTGGGTGCACTAAGGTGCACATGCACCCAGTATTTCAAGCCCTGAATGTACAGTCAAACTTGTTTTACTTCTAGCAGTCACTTCTGCATAAAGACCACTTGTGCAAGCATTAGGAAAGTTTAAGAATCATATCTACATTTACAATGTGTTGAGGGACTAAAACTGTGTGTTTCCCTCTACAGCGATTTGTCTTTCAACAAAGGAGATATAATAGCATTACGGCAGCGGATTGACGAGAACTGGTACCAAGGCGAGCTCAACGGTCAGTTCGGGTTCTTCCCGGTCAGCTATGTGGAGGTCATCCACCCCCTGCCGCCTGACCAGCCCACGGGGAAGGCCAAGTACAAGTTCGACGTCACCGACAATGAGGAAGACAAGGACTGTCTAACCTTTGAAAAGGTGAAGTTCAAACAATGTTTCGTTTCACCTCTTCTAAATAGTACTTGATAGCTGAAATACTTTACAACATAATGGCCAAACATTTAAATGGGGACTGGTACCAGACTATACAGTTGAAAAGTGATCAGAGGAGCCAGAATTAGCCTGGAGTCCAGCCTTGTGAGCTTTGGTCTGCTGTCCAAGATCCACTACTCAGCCAACAAGTTGTAGCGGATCTTGGGGAGCAGACTAGTGCTGCGTACCGGTTCACTGGACTTGGATCCAGACTTGTAAGACTGTTTAGGTTCAAGTCCAAAAAAATACTAAAAGTCAAGAACTGAGTCCGGACTTATTACCATAAAAGACCATTAATTTTCACATACCCCTTTTCTTTCCAAACCACCTAAAACCTTCCGTAGATTGCAAAATCTTTGCTGCAAAATGAAGAAAACACTGCCATCGGACATCATCAAGTACCGGCCTCCATGTTATGTGGCCAAAGTTTCACCCAGACAACATTGCAAGGTTGCCAACATGCAATTTTGTATATGCCATGGGTTTAGGTCCGGAACTGAACCTAAACCTCTGGACTCGAATGTGGACCTGAACCTAAATCATAGTAAATGTGGGTTTAGGTATGCAGCACTAAAGCAGACCAAAGCTACATGTAACAAGGCTGGACTGCAGGCTAAGCCAGAATGGATGAAAGCCAGGCTATTACTTTTTTTATTTTATTTTAGCTGAGCCGTACCCACAACAAAGCCTTTGACCTCAAACAACCCAGAACTTGACACTCGGTGCAGTGAATTGTTTCCAGATCAGGTATAAAGGTGCTATTATCCCCCCATGACATCCTAGGTTAGTTTTTAGGTACCGAACACCATTACAGAACCCCTGCTGGCTGCCAAAATTGCCAAAACAGGCTTACGATCAATTATTTACAAGAGCAGGCTGCCTGGTACTACTGTACTGGCACATGTAAAAGATCACTTGAGAACTTCTCTGAAATATGAGACTATTTGACTGAAATGAAATCTTGTAAAGTGTGACTTACAGCAAAGTCCAACAAAGGTATAAGGCAATATGTGTGTGTAAATCAAGTGGCAGTGTATAGCTGTCAAGTTTAAGTGTGTGAAAGGTTGCCATGAAAAAAAATTCGTAAAAAATTACAACCGAATAAATTTGATAGCAGAAGAGAAACTTTGACTGGTACACTGATATGGATAAGTAAGTACATGTATTGATTAGGCCACACCAGTTTAATTTCTTGCCAATCTTGGTTAACGGATTTTTCTTGAAAAATAATGCCATGGAGCGGGCGGGCGATAAAAACAGGCCTAGGCATCCTATTATGGCCCAAAATGGTAAGATAGGAGCCATAAAGTCAACACACCAGGCTGGTTCAAAATTTAAACAATGAATTTTGAACTTTTAATGATACCATTGCATTGAAAGATGGAATAACTGTAACAACTAGGATAAAAAGGACTGTTTTCAACTGTTCAGGGCAAAATATGAGAATTTTGCAGTTGATTCTGAATTTTTGTTTTTATTTGCAAATCAAAAAAATGAAACAGGCGAATCCGTTAACCAAGAAATTAAATTGGTGTGGCCTTAAACATACACATACTGTAGGGAGGCCTATACACAACTCTGGTTATAAATTGGGAAGGAAAAAAACATTTTCTCCTCAAACATGCTTCCTAGAGCATTTTTAACCAAGGTTAATTAAAAATTGTCCCAAAGCCTAAAAAAGTGATTTTTGAAAGTCATACTCATAGATGAGGGTGCGGTTTGACCCAATCACCATCAACAATGAGAAAATTGAAAATTTGTGGCTTATTTGTGTAACTATGGGAGCGCGGGTACTTTTCACGACTCTAAAACTGCCATAACTCCAGATTGCGCGGGCAGAAAGATGTGAAAATTGAACTGCAATGTCAACTTTTAACGCTTATTCAGACTTGTTCAGACAATATTAATAGAATCACCGCAAATGCTGCCCAAAAAATGATATTGAAGTCTGAACATGGCACATCAGCTGCCGGAAGGGGATTGGGCCTCCCTACATAATTATACATTGTAGGGAAAGCAAATTAACTGTACGACAAGCTGTTTTGCTAGAATTTTTAGTTAAATGAGGTCTTAACACAGGTACAAGGACAGGTACATGTAATACTGTTGTATACAAGAATAAAATATCCATTTGGTTGTGATATCATCTTTTGTCACCTCAATTCTTGTTTAACAAGGCTTATGACCTCAAAATTCAAAAATAGAATCTTGTTTTTTTGCCCCCCTTGTTTTTTTCATCCTATTCCGGTAGATTTGGAGTTTGCAGAGGATGTCATCCATAAAATTTACTTGCTGTGGCCTAAGTTATGTACCGAGTCTCTATAAAATATAGACTGCTTGATGCTGTCATGACACAGCAGTTTGTATGGTTGAGTGAAACTCTCCACAGGCCATTGTTGGTGATATACTGCGCCTTGTTTTTTTCACCCTAATGCATTAGACTTGGCGTCTGCAGAGGATGTCATCCATAAAATTTACTTGCTGTGGCCTTAAAGTTATGTACTCTATAAAATATAGACTGTGTGATGCTGACACAGCAGTTTTGTATGGTTGAGTGAAACTCTCCACAGGCCATTGTTGGTGATATACTGCCCATGAGAGTCATGAATGGCTCTCTGTAGGGTTTATGAATCAGACCCTGTAGGTTTCAAAAGCTGATTTTGATCTCCAACGCCAGGAAAGATCACGACCTGTTCTGATTGGCAGTTTGTTTGATACCAAACACCAGATATCGCTACTGTATATTACTAATTTCGCATGTTTTGCTGTTTTTTTGTATATCACGCAAGATATTACAATTATAGATTGTCTTTCTGATAGTAAGTTTCTTTGTACACGTATTGTCACTGCTCTATAACTTGACAATGTGAAACAAATGAAATCGTACAGAAATTACAATTGACTCTTACTTATGATAATTCCTTAATATCTTGGTGGTATTACGCATTATGAATGATAACCTGTGAAGAAGTTTGTGACTTATTTCACACAACCAAACATTATGAATGACTGTAGTTTGTGTGTATGTATCATAGGACATCTCATATCACCAGAATTTTGAGCCTTAGATGGCATCAGATATCTCTAAGTTGTACTTAGCATGCCAACTGGAACTTGGGTGATACAAGATGAAATGTGATATATACTAACTGTGACTCTCCAAGCTTCATTCTAATGCAAAGGTCACTTCTTGAGAGTTATACTGTGAATTTTGAAGTATCATGTTTAAGTTTGCAGGTTTCTGCAGTGCGGCAAACATAAATGAATTTATGAAGCAAGTTTAAAACTGTAATTTCCAACACAAGAAATTGGACTTACCCAAATTTGGGTAAGTCAAATTTCTTATTCTTATATCAACCGTGCAGGTGTTGAAAATTACAGTTTTAAACTTGCTTCATGATGACTTCTACCTACACAGATGAACTTTCAAGATAAACAAATTTACAGTAGATTGCTTGCTATCTTAGAACCTTGTCATACATCATAAGGGAGTCATCTAGATATGAAGGAGTCAGGTTTCTTGTCACAGGCTTGGGTACTGTGAATGCGTTTAGCTTTAGGCCTTACCAATTTAATTTGTTGGTTTTCGGATTCACCTCTTCCTTTTTTCTGATTTGCAAAAAAAAAAGGGAATTCTAGTTCTGAATCAACTCAAAAATGCTCATAACCATATTTTGAGAAAAGTCCTTTTCTTCATACTTGGTACGGTTTTACCATCTATCAATGCAGTGGTCTGATTAAAAGTTCACGATTCATTGTTTAACATGTATAGTCTGGTACCAGCCTTTTGTGTTGACTCCGTCTCTCCTATCGTAACATTTGGGGCTATAATATATGATGCCTTGACCTGTTTTTATTTTTCTTTTTTTTTTCGCCCTGTTGCTTCTTAAATCCGAGAATCAAAAAATTGAATTGGTGTGGCCTTACCGTGGTTATATTTTGCGGTAGAAGGGAAAAGGAAGGTGAGTCACGCCTAAAATGACTCTGTGTGGTAGAGCGCTCGACTATGAAACGGCGAGACCCAGGTTCGGCGATCTCGAGTTGTACCTAGGACATGTCTGGACATGCGCCCTGAAGTTGTGCCCTTGGGAAAGGTACTTTACACAACTTTCCTCACTCCACCCAGGTGTGAATGGGTACCTAATATAACTTCAGTTGGGGAAAGTCGTATTGAGGTCACCTGGTGGCGTTGAATGGCAGCCGCACAGACCCTTGCGACTGTTCCACAAAAGTGTGTGTGGAGCAAATATGTTACATGTATATATGCAATGTATAATATCATGTCATTGAGTATCATGTGATTGAAACCCTGCATCAATTCAGCGCTATAAAAGGCTGTGACTGCATGGATAATGATTGACCAATAAACTGTTTATTATTATTATTATAAAATTTTCTACATTTACAGTAGCACTTCCATGGGTTTTGTATAAATGGACTAACGTAATGTTGTATTTTACCTCCTTCCACAGGATGAAATTGTGACAGTGATAAGACGGGTCGATGAGAACTGGGCAGAAGGCATGATAGGAGACAAGATAGGCATCTTCCCTATTTCCTTTGTGGAAGTAAGTCAATTCTGCCTCAGCACACCTGTGTAAATTCTGAATATAGAAATGGAATTATAGACCATTTAGGTACGCGGTGTGGGGTTTGTTTGTTTGTTTGTTTATTTGTTTGTTTGTAGCCAAGACGAAAAAGAAGATGATGATGATTGTTTGTTGGGGTTGGGGCAAAAACAGTGTAAAGTTGCTTGATTGTTGTGTATATATTATACATTATGCAGTATAAATTAGTATTATAAAGAAATGCTTTTCACAATGAAGTTCTGTGTAAAGCACATGTTAAAATGTTAAAATTTAATTTTTTGATTTTAATTTCATTTTCAGATGAATGAAGCAGCAAAGAGTCTTATAGACAGGTAAATACAGATTGCAGCACTTTTTAAAGCCTAGCATGTCTGGGCAATTATAGGAACACTGTCTTGAAAGAGCATGTCGGCAGAACATACTGCGCCTGCCCGAAACCCCGATTTTTCACGTTTTTCACTCGATGTTTGGTCAACGTTTCATCAGAATTTTGCCTGTTGCAAACGACAACTTTTTCGACATAACCTTTGGAAACTTTAGACTGGACGTTAACTTTATATGCTCATAAGACCTCATATGAGACTTCTTTCGAAGAGCTATGCACAATACAAAATGTACATTGTGGGTTTCATGCAGGTGCAGTACATTCTGCCGACGTGGGAAACTAGTGAGGTGACAACTAAGCATATCATTAGCATAAATTAGCTTAAAGGAGCAAGCTGAATGACATAAAACAATTCTGCAAGGATGTAACGATTCAGAATTTTCTCATACAGTTTTCTAGTGATGAGAGAAATTTTGTTGAAGTTGGCAATTTCAGTCATGCCTTTTATGAATGCCCGTTTTAATTCTCAACAGGAAATCCAAATCTAGGAATGAATCAACTGATGCAGAACCCAATATGTAAGTTTGATTTTGATTTCTTTTCTTAGTTTATATGGTATTGTGATTATAGATTTTCTAGTACATGTATCTAAAGAGCCTTTTATGTATAACACACGTAATGACCTTAACAGGGCTTAGCCAAATGTCTCCCCAACAACAGTAAAAGGCAAAAAAACATTGGGTTGCAGAGTACATGTACATGTATCAGTTTTCACATTAAATTAGTGACGATTTTAGTGGGGTGTCAAGAATTATGTTTAGTCTACATGTATTTCTGTTTAAAGTTCATTTATATCTTTTTAATTGTGTTGTATGTTCAAATGAATTGTTCAAAATAAATTACAATATGTTGTTTAATAGATAAATACTACAAGTCTTAATACTACTGTTAGTGTACTGTCCCCTGTATAATGGTACGGTCCAAAAGTGGTCGGTTATTGTAATAAGTGACCACTTTTGATGTTAGGGCCTGATAACCGATGGGAAAAGGAGCCTTTTGATTGGTCGACGTCTTCTGACTATATGATAATAGTTTTTTATCGCCTGCCTTTTTGCTTCCTTCCTTCCCGCAGACAAGCCCCGGCCAGAACAGACAGCCAGTCCCCGGAGGATTCGCCGTCGTCCAGCGCGGCGTCTGGGAGCCAGGCTAACTCCTCGTCCAACCACGACAGCAAGAGCAAGAAGGACAAAGCCAAGAGACATTCATTCACTCTCCTCACCACTTCCAACAAAGCTTCTCATCCACAGAGCAACCACAGGTGAGAAACAATGGGGCAACCATTAACAACCAAAATATTTCCATAAGTTTCAGTAAGACCACAACAAGTAAATTTTATGGATGACATCCTCCACCGACTCCAAATCTAATGCGAGCGGGCGAAAAGAAAACAAGGCGGGTGGAAAAAAACAAGGTTCCTACATTTTAAAATGTTGACTCAATCATTGCACAAATGGTTTTTATTCAATGCGAACATCATATATACAGCCAGCATCACATATCACTGCATCAAAGTAAGAAACAAAACATTCAATCAGAGCCTTTTCTTGTCTCCTCTCTTCAGTTATCTGCCTCCCGGCATGGCAACAGACATCTTTGCCCATTTTCGGCATGTTGACCACTGTGAGAGGGCAACAAAATTTATTGTTTTTTTTTTCTCAAAATCAGGCGAACATTAATGTGCGCACTGATGTCATCCATAAAAATTACTTGCTGTGGCCTAATTTAGAAATTGTCGATCAATTGAATATGACAAATTTCTTGGGGCAAACTCGAAAAAAGGTGTAACTTGTAGACAGGATAATACATAGGGTTCTTCTTTTTTCACGCTTAGCTATATATTCAGTATATTTGAATATTGAGTAGAGATTGTTTATGAAGTAACTTATAACTTTGAGAAGTGTGTCTTTGGTACTTGAGTGTGCTATCTATTTCTTGCATGTATCCCATCTTCAGATTATTACCTGTGTGTGTGTGTACCTGTAGTCATTGCTTTGTTGGTGTCTTGCTCCGTGGCTGTTCTAACTCTTGCTTGCTGCTTTATGTCTTCTTGTCCCTCCTTGCAAAACTGTGGAACTCAAAACTATGGTAAGTACTCAATGTCACTGTTACAGTGTACGTCTTCTTTTCCGACTCTCCTAGTTTTAGTTATTACATAATTATAGAACATAAACTTATCTAAGGCCACACCAATTTAATTTGTTGGTTCTCAGATTCGCCTCTTCGTTTTTTCTGATTTGCAAAAAAAAAAGAAAGATATGATTCTGGTTCTGAATCAACTGAAAAATGCTCATGTTTTGTCCCCAACAGTTGAGGAAAGTCCTTTTCTTCCTAGTTGTTACAGTTTTCCCATCTATCATTGCAGTGGTTTGATTAAAAGTTAAAAATTCAATGTTTAAATTTTAACCCAGCCTTTTGTGTTGACTTCATGGCTCATTTCGTAGCAATTTTAAGCCTATAATAGGATGCCTATACCTGTTTTTATTTTTTATTTTTTCGCCCTGTCGCTTCATATTTTTTCTGAAGAAATCCGAGAACCAACAAGGAGAAGTCGTAGACATCATCCCTCCATGAAATAGCTTGTTATTTTGTAATCTTTTGGTGTATTTCAATAGAGATATTATGAGTCAAACTTTGTTTTTATCAGCAGAATGATTTGTGGTGGCACTTTGTATTTATCAAGCTGTCATGTGCAGGCGTTTAATGTCTTGTTACCATGGTTTGTTTACTTTGTATTGGCCAGCAGGTCATTTGCCTTAGCCTGGGTACCATCCCCAGTAGTATATTCGCAAACTCTATAACTGTTATAGAGTTTGCGAATATACTACTGGGGATGGTACCCAGGCTACATTTGCCTGTACATGTAGGTCAATGACCTGCAGACCAGACAAACAAGATTTATTTTCCTGCACTCTGTCTAGGGGTAAAAATAGATAGGGCTGCCTGCCAGCTGGAGGTATAAACAAAAACACTCTGTCCCAACTTTTGGGTCAAACAGACCATCCTATTATGAAGTAGGGGTGAAAAAGTGAAAATCCTTTTAAATTAAGCAATAAAAATATGCGACAACCTGCTAATGCACTTCAAAACACAAAGAGACTCAACAACTACCCACATACCAAAAATCATACCAAACCATCCCCCAGATTTTCCAAACATTCAACACAAAAAGTCCAACATTAAACATTTTGTAAATATCAAACGCAAACAGCTAGGGGACCCAAATTTAAACCACTAAACCATGGTAATAACAACTACATGCTACCTTAATATCGCACAAACAGTCCATAATGCGAAAACAACAGAATAAAAAAATTAAACTGCAGTACCAAGGTCAACCACCAGGGGCTCAAAGTCAACCTACACAATCTCCAAGGCCCCATCCATCAATCTGCCAAATATCGTACAGTTCCTTCTCACCGATCTTCAGATATCAGACCAAACATGAAATGGAGTAAAAACAGTACCCCCATTTTCATGGAGGGTAACAAATTAAATAATTGGTGTGGCCTAATGATGATTAGCATCACCTAATCTCCAACGAGATATTAGGATGTAAGATCATATTTTTTACCGATTGTTGGGTTCTTTTGGATGACCAAACTTCTCTGCCAACCATCCAGGCCTTTTGAATGGAAGTATTGTATGTATCTTGTCCTTAGGCAAGGATTGGAAGTGGGTGGGCAGAGATTGGTGTTCAGTTGATCGACTGGGTTGTCACCCGGTATGCCCTTATTGGTACATGTAGGATATGTCACTGGGAATGTGTACTGTGGAATCATGGTATAAAACATAGACCATGGTGTAATACCACAGTAAGTGACATCATAAAATCCTACATTAGTAACTTACAGTTAATTCTATGATGTAATTCAATCTGGTATTTCCCCATGACCATACAGAGTAGTTCTAATGCATTAAAAGAATCCCAAAACACAGAAGTCTAACATCCTGATTTCTTGTTAGTAAACTACAATATGTTGTTTAATAGATCAATACTACAAGTCTTGACACTACTGTTAGTGTCCTGTCCCCTGTATCATGGTACGGTCCACAAAGTGGTCGGTTATTCTAATAACATATCTGATTTGTTGTTGGTTAACTGTAATACGTTGTTTGATAGATCAATACTACAAGTCTTAACACTACTGTTTGTGTCCTGTCCCCTGTATAATGGTACGATCCAAAAAGTGGTCAGTTATTCTAATAACATCTCTGATGTGTTGTTGGTTAACTGTAATACGTTGTTTGATAGATCAACACTACAAGTCTACTGTTAGTGTCCTGTCCCCTGTATAATGGTAGGGTCCAAAAAGTGGTCGGTTATTCTAATAACATCTCTGATGTGTTGTTGCAGGCATTCCATGGAGATCAGTGCCCCTGTGCTGATCAGTTCCAGTAACCCCACTGCTGCTGCCAGGATAGACTCCAACACCCTCTCATCCAGTGCACCTTCCTCATCATCACCTCCTACTACACAGGTAAGGACCTTAGCACACCTGTCACACACCTGGCACACACCTGGCACACAGGTAAGGACCTTAGCACACCTGTCACTCACCTGTCAGACACCTACATGTATGACACAGGTAAGGGCCTTAGCACACTTGTCACACACCTGTCACACAGGTAAAATCTTAACACACCTGTCACACAGGTAAGGGCCTTAGCACACCTGTCCCACACATGTCAGACACCTACATGCATCAAACAGGTAAGGGCCTTAGCACACTTGTCACACACCTGTCACACAGGTAAAATCTTTACACACCTGTCACACACCTACATGTATCACACAGGTAAGGACCTTAGCACACCTGTCAGACACCTGTCACACAAGTAACAATCTTCACACACTTGTCACACTGGTAAGGACCTTAGCACACCTGTCACACAGGTAAGAAACTTAGCACACCTGTCACACACCTGTCACACACCTGTCACACACCTGTCACACAGGTAAGGGCCTTAGCACACCTGTCACACTGGTAAGGACCTTAGCACACCTGTCACACAGGTAAGAAACTTAGCACACCTGTCACACACCTGTCACACACCTGTCACACACCTGTCACACACCTGTCACACAGGTAAGGGCCTTAGCACACCTGTCACACAGGCAAGAAGCTTAGCACACCTGTCACACACCTGTCACACAGGTAAGAACCTTAGCACACCTGTCACAGGTAAAAACTACCATGCACCTATTACCTGAATTATAACATGCCTTTTGCACACCTGTCACTCAGACCTACATGTAATACACACTTGTCACACAGGTAAGATCTATCAGACATTGTCACAGGTACATGTAAAACCATGTCTTACTGAATCATTTCATACAGTACTTTGGAAACCAAAACATCTGCTTAAGTACAATGTAGCATACTCGTACACATGCACACATTCAAACACACACACACGGACACACACACACACACACTCAGACACACACACATCCTAAAAATCTATTTGCACTGTTTTGTTTTCCTATTGGGAATGTGCAACAAAGCAATCAATGCTTATGAACACATACATTTGTAACCTTTTCCTTGAACAGTAAACGTTCTTGACCCTGCGGCCCCAGCGCTCTCGTAAGTCAATATCCCAGCCTCTATAGTCTGACACCATCATCGATCATATATTTTCCTTCGGCTGGGTTAGGTCAAGGATCGTGTCTCAAGGATCTGTGAAGAAAATTGACCTTTCAAGTCTTAGATTTGATTTCCTTGGGAACTCCTCGCCTTGAAGATTGCCTGGGACAGGTCATCTCAGGACACGATGAAAACTTGATGCATTTTACTTTTGCAGTGGTTTTTATTTCTTATTTTATTAGTTTTTATGAAAGTTTCTGCATTAACATTGCATTTCATTACATGTAACATCCGTGTCCATAATATCACCAGGGTCCATAATATCGCCACCTTGAGAAATAGTGTTCTTTAAGATATTTTTACTGCAACATACTTTTGGTATGCACTCCAGCACCTCAAATGTACATACCTAGGGTATGTTGCAGTAAACATATCTTTAAGCTCACTGTTTCTGAAGGTGGCGATATTATGGACCCTGGTGAAATTATGGACATGGATGTTACGTGTATGTGCCAATTTTTTAGAAAATAGCCTTGCTACATGCATCTCTTTCTGATGCAAACTGTATTTTGTTACATCAGTTCAGCTGAAATAATGAGAGAATCCCTCTCTACCAACCCCAATTTTGCCAGGGCCGAAATCAGAAACACAACATCAATTTTTCCTAGGCCCAACATGCCCCTATAATTGTACCTCAACCTTCAACTTAATATTCTACTCTACCCACCGACGTGGAACTCATAATATCCCCCAGCTTTCATCAGATTTAGTAGTAAAATGGGAAATTTATTTGCTGGCCTGATCCGGGCCTCTTCCCAGAGTGTAGAGAAGAATAAAAGCACATGATCCCCAGCTGACCCTAGGGCAGACATGCTCAGCCAGTATTGTCCTTCCCACCTGATCCCCACATGTCACTCCTGACCTCCCCTTTTGATTGACAGCTTAATCGGAGGTCACCCCTTTGTTCCCGCTGACATTATGATGAACGACTTTCATGTCAAGAAGCCGCAGGAATCTTTAAAAAGGGACGGTCATGCATAGTGTTGCTCTTGTTCCAAGGAAACAGGTTTTTAACTTAAGTATATACAGGGCTCAAAATCGTTTTTTTTTTTCTGCATACCTGCATTGGGTGAAGCTAACCTTTGAAAATTACTTACACTAGATAAGTTTTACATGCACCACTCAGAATTTAGGAAGTACAATGTATATACAACTTATTATTAGATCAAACTAGCCTGCATACATTTGTATACTGCACTGTAGTTTCAATAGTACATATACATGGACCAGTGCTGGTTAGGTATACATGTAGGTAGACATCAGAAATACCTGCACAGCTCCAATTTTACCTGCACTAACCTGCATATACCCAGTACATGGACCAGTGCAGGTTAGGCGCAGGTAGACATCAGAAATACCTGCACAGCTCCAATTTTACCTGCACTAACCTGTATGTACCCAGTACATGGACCAGTACAGGTTAGGTGCAGGTAGACATCAGAAATACCTGCACAGTTCCAATTTAACCTGCACTAACTTGCATATGCAGATGGTATTTTAAGCCCTCAACTTTGTTCCCTTTGACATTATGATGAATGACTTTCACGTCAAGAAGCATCAGGAATCTTTAAAAGGGACGGTCATGCATAGTCTTGCTCTTGTTCCGCAGAAAATCTAGACAGGCCACACCAATTTAATTTGTTGGTTCTCGGATTTTTTCATAAAAAATATGAAGCGACAGGGCAAAAAAAAATAAAAATCTAGGTCTAGGCATCCTATTATAGCTCCAAAATTTAATGCTACGATAAGAGCCATGAAGTCAACACAAAAGGCTGGGTTAATATTTAGATAATGAATTTGAACTTTTAATCAAACCACTGCATTGATAGATGGAAAAACTGTAATAACTAGAAAGAAACTTTCGTTAACTGTTAAGGGCAAAAATATGAGGATATTTCAGTTGATTCAGAACCAGAATCTTTTTTTTAATGAAGAGGCGAATCAGAGAACCAACAAATTAAATTGATGTGGCCTTATCTCAGAGATCGTTTTCAGTGCGTCTCAGATTTAACTTGCTGTAGGGATGACGTCCCATCAGATAAGGCTGTCACACACTCAGTTATAGCAGGGATTACACATTCCAAACCTTTGTGCTGAAAATTGAGTTGTAAAATTCTTTGATCTTATCACGTTCAGTGACAGTTTGTGACCTGGGAATTTTAAGCAAACATTGTAAACGTCAGGCCACATAAAAGGATTAAAACTAAAAACTGTACCAGTATTTCAAGTAACTAGAATTGAGAGTGAGAGAGTGTATTGAGAGCTTAATGTACAACTAGAAAAGTAACATTTGCAAAGCAAATGCATAATGTTTACCTTCGGATATGGTCTGCTTTGTTAATTCTTACTCAAACACATTCACATAACTTACATATGGTGACAGGAGTCTAAATGCCTACTATGAGATTGCAACATTATGTAACCCAACACCAGTTACTATGGTGACAGATGTCAACAAAAGAGGCTATTGGCCAGGTCAGAGGTTAGTGTTTGGAACAGAAGAAGAAGAAATGGAGGAAAAACAATATGTTTTCCTTCGGTAAACATTAATATATACCAAGATGGTTTTTTAAATAAATACCCCCTTTCCACTAGAAGCTGAGCAACCCAATATTTTAAAGTTCATTTTGTGTGTTTTGTTGTCTTACATTAGCCTCTACCAGGCTTGGCTGGAATGAGTAGAAATCAGCTAAATAGAGAGATAAGCATGCCAAGGGAGTTTGTCCGTTGAGAGAACATTTCGCCGCACCGGCTAGTCTAACATTGAAATCATGCTTTTACCATGTGGATCCATATTCCAATGGACCTATACCATTATTACATCACAGTTTGTTTACCGCAAGGAATGCCGGTCAATCGACGTCTATATTGTACAGGGGTGCGTAGCGCGGTGTATGTTTGTGTAGCGTTAGCCTAATATAAGGCTTTTAATACAGTACTACTTTCGTCTAATGTCACAACTAAATCACCCATGCAGCATGTAATGCTGTGTCAACACAACTAGACGCAGCAAAAATCAGACATACCTTACTTTGAAAACTTTGAAATGATCTTTATTCTTTAACTGACCGTTCTAGAATGTTCTTTAGAACAGGTAAACAAACTGTGACGTAATAATGGTATAGGTCCAGTGCAATTCAAGAGTCACGCAAATGCCAGGGATCAAAACTACAACATCTCCCTCATATGTCTTCGAGCCTAGCCACTCCTCCACTTAACACCAGACCAGGAAAAGGGGCCTGAGCAACTGAGTTAGTCTTAGACTGGCTAGCTCACCTGGAAATTCTAATCAAACTCGTGTCACTATTTTCCCTAGCCCAAGCGCTATCTACCATCCAAAATTCATGACCCTAGCATGTCCAGATCATGAGATATCAAAACCTGAAGTTCTGCTGCAGTACCAACAAAAGCCACCGGGGGGCAAAAATCTGATGATGTCTGCAGTTGTAGGTCTCATCAAGACCTACCGAGTTTCATGACAATGCATATAAAGCTTCTTGAGTTATGCTGTTCACAAACAAACATACAGAAAAAAAACGGACAAATGCTACTGAAAACATAGGTTCATGACCTTCTTGGCGAAGGTAAGAAGTGTGTTGAACATGTTGCTAACTGTGGATTGCATGGTTTTTGCCCTTTCTTACAGGGTGCCGAAGCAGCCGCGGCCGTCGCCACTTCTCAAACTGAACCTGCTGCCACCTTAGGCACTGCAACTGTGAGTGTTCATTTATATTTAATTTATTTCATCTTAAACACCTGGGTGGCCTCTTCAACGGTTAATTGTTGATTTCCAAGAGTGTGGACCTCAGGGTCATGTAGTTGAATGACCTAAGGATTGATGCACCGCCCCGAAGTTTGTATACTGTGATAATTCCTGGTCAGGTGCAATAACCACCGAATAAACCACCGAGTGAGTGTAGCGACCAGGAATTATCTCACCATATTCACTGAGGATAAGGCGGGACATTAACATTATTATCACATAGCCTGATATATCCAACTGACACAGTTATTTGACACAAATTCCTTTATGAAATTCCTACATTGCCAGAAAAATCAGTGAAACAAGAATGATGGAATGGACAGAAAAACAGATCATCTAGGTAATCATCTGGGATGACCACATGACATTGGAACAGTACCACCTTTAGTGGGGGTGTCAAAAATTATGTTTAGTCTTTTTCTGTTTAAATTACTACAGAATGTAAAAAATTGAAATTTGATAGGTAAATATATGTACTACGAGTTTTAACACTACTGTTAGTTTCCTGTCCCCTTTATAATGGTACAGTCCAAAAAGTGGTCGGTTATTCTAATAACTGACCACTTTTGAGGTAACAGCCTCATAACCAATGAGAAATGAAGCCTTCTGATTGGTCGACGTCTTCTGGCTATATGATAAATGAACAAGTATGGCAACAATGACAATTGAAAGCAATATATGTACAAAGTCTAATCTAAAAGAAACTACGACGAATATAGATATAAATGGTGTGTTGTCATGATTCTGTTTTTTGGAATACATTCTCTTTTGTAAAACGCTCCATATTATACATGTATATTGGCCTAGATTTGGAGTCGTAAGTACATAGCTTTGGAGAATATTGGTAGATTGAAAATGTCAGTGTTTGTCTTTGGCAAGGGTTTACTACGTAGATTTACCTGTGACCGAAGTCATTAATTTTGACACCCAGATATTTTGGTGACACCTTGGGAACAGAGCCATTCATTGTAGGATTTTAACATTTCCTGTATTTGTTAGAATTTGCAGGCGAATGGCCCAACAAGAAAAAGTACGGCCGAACCTTCATCACCAACAATAGTTCCCAGCCAGGGTCCCTCCAATGTGTAAGTATACAAACTCAAAAAAGTCAGTGCATTTACATTGTATAAGTCATTAGTTGGATGTGAGTTCAACCTGCAACCTAAAAAAAAGAAGAAAAGAAAGTTGAAACATACCTTTCATATGGAATTTTTTGCAATGCATCAGTTATATGTATGAAAATATGTGTGCAAGAACAGATTTTTTAAGCCATGTGTAAAGAAATGATTCCGCATTTCAACTGTTCACAAAATGCTTAGCATGCACTAACAGTTACTACTGAGCATTTACTAAGATTCTACACTAACAATTGTAGCAGTATAACATATCTAACACATGTATTCATATCCCTTATGCATGCACTATCATAGCAACCTAACTTGCTTGCCACTTTGTTACAAATCATCTCCTTTTCAAGTTCAGATTACGTTAAGGTTAATAATGAACTTTTGGTTTCAGCTTTTCTTGCTGCCAAAACAAGCCTTCTTTGCCCCCTGTCTCTATCTTTGTCGCTGTGCTTTCTTGCACTGGAGAAAACTCCAGAGAAATGTAGGCACGAGTCTCTAGGACATTAGAACTGTAACAAAGTATATCGTTTGGGTGCAGGTGCATTTAGAGGATGTAGAGAGAAAAAGGTAGATGCTGCGACTTTCATCTCCTATTCCTATTTCAGGTGTGTGGCCAGGCACTTGCACAAACCTCAGCATATCAGGTTGGTTGCTATAAAAAGATCTGCAACTTTCCCCTGCCCCCCTCCCACCCAACCAAAATCCCTACTAGCTTATGCTGCAGTTCACATTCATCCCACAAGGAGGCTCTCTTCCAAGTGGTTTCCAAGAACCAACCTGCTGATACAGTCTTGATGTTTGGCTCATCCTATAAGAATGCCCTGAAGGGAACATAAGAACACTTTAACAACACCATGAGATTGAAAACAAGAAAAACCTGCCTACACAAAAGCCTGTGAGCCTCTCGGTGTTTGAGGAAAGCCACACCTCAAGCACGTCAAAGATTCCATCGTACTTATCGAAAAGAGTAGGGGTCCTTCCCGACGTGAGTGGTTCAAACATTACAGTCTAGTGTTACGCAGCTTGTACTTAACGTACAAAACTGGTGTGGTACGGCTAAAGGCAGTTTCCTGGCAATACAAAATAAACAAACAGCCTCTTTATCTTGAAAGTTCATCCGTGTTGGTAGAAGTCATTATGAAGTTGAAATACTGTAATTTCAGTACTGCGGATGACACAGAATGCAGTTACTGCAGATGACACAGAATGATGACTCATTTAGCAGTAGATCATACAATGTTTATGTGATTTCATGGCAGCAAAAATGGAGATATTCTGAATAAGGCAATCTTTGTCATATTCACACATACTGCTTGACATTAGCACATTTGAGTCAGTATTTTCATACCTTGGGCATTTAAAACTGCAGAAACAAGCCCCATGATGAGCCCTTTATTTTCTGGGTGGTACCCTAAAAATCAGCCCAGGGCCCTTCCAGTTACATTTTCTGTCAGAACTTTTGGAATTTTTGCTCCAAGAGGGTCAATATACATTGGGATAGTGTGGTTTCAACTCAGTATGTAGATGAACAACTTATTGAACAAAATATTGACTTTGAAAAATCGGGTTTCCAAGCCCTAAAAACTACACTGGATGCCTTTAAGGGATGGTTGTAATGCCCTGACAAAAACCTCTAACTGGGATGAGTGTGCCATGCAGCAAAAACGTACTACTAGCTCAGCCTTCCAAACATTCACAACAGTGTGAAGAGTTTAGCTTTAATCATTCTCTTTGTTTTTTTTCCTCCGGGACAGGTACGTTGCCAAGTACTCTTACAAGCCGCAGAAGAGTGACGAGCTTGAGTTGAAGAAGGCAGACATCTACCTGGTGTGTGAGAAGATGCAGGACGGCTGGTTCAAGGGCACATCTCTGCGCACCGGCCAGATGGGCATGTTCCCCGGGAACTATGTACAGCCTCTCACCAGGTATTACAGGAAACTCCTAACAAGACTGGCAATGAAAACATAGTACATTGCCATGGCGACGGTGGTTGCTGTTAGGGTTATTGTTTGCATGGCACTGCCATCATTTCATGATTTTGAGGAAGCCTTGGTACCTGTAAATCTAGACAGATAGGGCACTCCTCCCTTGAGTGTATAGTGAACGAGCCCCGGGGTCACAGAAAGTAGGGCCATCCTGGGCAGATAGATCTTCCCAAGGGTTTCCAGGAATGTGGGCATAGATGTGGGTCAGAGACATGCCTGTGGACATTCCATTCCTGTGAACAAAATGCCTGTACCATTCCTAGAATTCTTGCAAACTGCACACAATACTGTACTGTTAGGCTCCTCCCTGAGACGTCGCCAAAAAAAAAAGAATTAACAGTGGCAAATGTGCTGATGTTGACACATTGGCGCACCAAATCCTCAGTGTGTTTTTGGCACACAGTTAGACAGATTAGCCTAAGAGGCTCGGTGGGTGTCACTCCACCGTACAGGTGGGGAAGTCGTGTAAAGTGCCTTTACCAGGGGCACAGCATCGCACCACGCACAGTGAGTAAGTATCGAACCCGGGACCTATTGGGTCCGAGTCCAACGTTCTAACCATTACGCCACATAAACTCCTCCTACAAGGCCTATGAAAAAATGTTGTATTTCCTGCTTCCAGACCGACCCTAGAAAAAAACTGCTGACACTAGCCTTTTTATGGGGGTGGACCCCTGCAAGGGGCATAGATTTTTCGAGCTGACCGACCTTTTTTAATTCTAGCTCCAATTGGTCTGACACCTGAGTGATAAACGTTGTACAATCGTTTTTCCTGCCCTTCAAGTTACTATATTTAAGGAAAACATATTGTTTTTACTCAGTTTCTTCCTCCTCTTCTGTTCCAAACACTAACCTCTGACCTGGCCAAAGACATGATTTGTTGACGCCTGTCACCATGGTGACTGGTGTTGGGTTACATAATGTTGCAATTTCATTGTCTGCTCTACTCCTGTCACCATATAGTAACACTAAGTATATAGTACTTGTATGTGAATGTGTTTGAATAAAAATTAACAGGGCAGACCATGTCCAAAGGTAAACATTATGCATTAATTTGCTATGTAAATGTTACTTCTCTAGTGTATGTGCATTTTTGATATTTATATGTATATGTATTTTACTTGTTTTGGTGTCATATGGTCTTCAACCATTGTTTTTGTTGTCTTGTACAGGGCTGTGACGAGCACCACGCCCACACGCTCTACGTCCTCTGCTCCTGCCCGCCCCGCCTCCTCAGCACCCCCTACCCGACCAACCTCCTCTACCCCCTCCTCCAGAACTACCCCCTCTGCCTCAGGCAGACCTGCGTCTTCCAGCACCTCCAAGTCAGCAGGGGGACCCCCTCCACAGATCGTGGTGACGGCCAGCAACGCTGCATCACAACAGGTTCGTTTGTTTGTTTCAGCCTATGTTTGTCCATGAAATAGTCTTATTAGATTACTTTTTCATTATTGTTCTTGTTTTGTTATTCTATGAGCAGAGGACTATCATAAGAATCTTTTTTCCAATGCTCATTGAAAAAATAAATGTGAATGAAATACAAAAATAGAAATAAGAGATTCCAAACCTCGTGGAAGTATATGATACATAATGTCCCCAACAAACCGCATCATCTGCACCTCAATAACTAATATTAATATTATACTGAAATTCAGAGAAATCTGTCCAACCCACCACGAGTTATAGCTGCTAACAGACATACACAACTGAAAACAATTAACGTTATACATTACCACAGAAGGATATCTCCTTACCCGAAGGTAATATATCTGTTCTCTTGTAAATATTCCTGGTAATGTCTTTCCTTAGGTCTTGGTTGTGAAGACGTCTACAGGAACGTCTCGAGTGCCTGTCCCGGTGTCTCCCCCAGCCCAGATGCAGTCGTCTCACCCCCACCGCTCCTCCGTCCCCGTCAGCCGCGTCCCGCAGCAGCCCGGCAACCCTGCCGGCGCCGTGCAATCCTCGCGGCCTGCCAGCAGTACGTGTGTAATCCACGGCAAGACTACAGTCGCCCAGGCCCGCGCCCTGGCCCAGCCACAGAACAGGACCGTCGCACACATGCGCGGCATGAACGGAGCCCACCACCCGCAGGTCGTCACTGTACCCAACGCGCAGGTGTGTTCTTGTTTGTTTTTTATAAATCATTCTTTTTAATGTTTCTTTCAAGAATGCACACAAAAGAGAGCATGGCACAAAGAACAAACTAACTGAAACCACGTGCATAACAACAAAACTAAATAAAACCAGTAAAACAATATAAATGATATAACAAAATATTGCACAGAAAAAAAGTCGACCCCAATTACATACAATTTTTTTATGTCGAGAGTAGACCTATTAGTTTTCCCCATTTTCCCATATGTTTTTTTGTCTTGCCCACTCAATTTGAAATTATGGTTTCTAACTTGAAATAGTATGCTATAAGAAATAAATGATTTATGTTAATTGACCAAAGTCGATTTTTAAATGGGTTAAAGGTGTGCTTTTGTTTGGCATCAATAGTAAACCACCTTTAGGCATAACACTCCACTGAGCAGTAAGTGCAAGCTGCATTGACTTATTACCTCAGTGAAAAATGGATGTATTTTTTCCCTTGAAAGACAACAGTAAGACTGCAGGGTACAATAACAAGTATTCAGAGACCTCAGATGTATTCAGATCTTGTAGATAATTATGGTAACAGTGCCCTCTTCTCATGCACCAAGGTGTCTACAAGATCTCAATGCATGTATTTTTATATCTCAGGTCTCCGAATTTTTGTTATTGTACCATTCAGTGACATTCAGGCCTGCGAGGCTGTTACATGTATTTGTATCAGAGATACTGAATGAAACCCGTTCATTTACAAAATGTATTCATTCGTACCTCCAGGTGCCGCCTCAGCAGCAGCAGCCGCCGCGGCATCACGTGAACGTGCGACCGATGGTCCCGGGCCAGGTCCTGATGAGGCCGGTGGCGGCTGTACCGCCTCAGCCGCAAACGAGAACTGTTCCCGTGCAGGCCGTCCAGCCCCAGGCGATGCGCCACGGCGGCGCTCGCGTCCTGGTCCAGCCCTCCCCCAACCCCCGACAGGCACATTCCCAACACGGTGGGGCGTCGCTGCAGAACACCCCCACCCCCCACGCACCCACGTCGGCGGCAGCCACTGTCACTCCGCCCAACATGACGGCCATGCCTGACGTGGTGGCCAACGCTGGTCGCAGTTCCCCGGAGGGCGCCACAGGGGGCGTCGCTGCTCCACCCAGACCAGAGCGGGTAAGCATACAATCATGTATTTCTTACCTACTGTAGGCTACATGAAGAATGGAGGTATTGTGTTTGTTCTGTCTTAGTGTGTGTGTGTGTGTTTGTTTGTTTGTTTCTGCATATTTGTGGTCAACATAACTTAAGAAGGCCTTTATGGATTGTGATGATGTGAGTAGGGCTTGAAAAGACAGAAGTCAAGGTCAAATTCGGGTCTCCTGGTGGCTGTCCTTGGTAGTGCAGCAGAACTTCTGGGTTTTGTACCATTTTTCCTTATGGTCATGCACTGCATTTTATTCTATTATTATTATTATGCAGTTAATTTGTTATAATCACCCATCTTTGAATTACATGTAGTGTAGTGTTCCTGAACATGTATGCTATGACCCTAAATCATGTATGATTCCCATGTTCATGCACAATGTACTTGCAATTAGCCCTCGGGCATGAACTTGCAAATAATCAGTTTGTTACTAATCATTGTATTTATCCTCCATATTCCTGCAGAAGGACAAAAAGGAAGAAGACAGGAGAAAAGGAGGCTTCATCCGGAGACTGTCCGGTGCCACCGCGAAGAAGAAGACCTCCAAGTCTGGCTCCCCTCCCCCCGACTGCACCCCTCCCCCCTCCCCCGGTGCGACTGCGGCGGTGCCTCAGGACGCACAGCAGTTACTAGGTGCACAGGGCGGGGACCCGGCACAGGTAGCACACGGCAGGTAAAACAGCGCATTTTGATATTCCTACAATACATCAGAAAAACTAAAAAGGTAACATTTTGAAAGCAAAATGTTTACCTTTGCAAATGGTCTGCTCTATACTCAAACACATTTACATATACATGTATGGTTAGACAAGAGTACTAGTATAAATCCCTCCTGCCATAAAATTGCAACATGATATAAACCAACACTAGTCACCATGGTGACAGACGTTTGGTTCAGGTCATTGACCTTATTTGTTTGGAGAAGAAGAGGAAACAGAGCAAAAACAATATGTTTTCCTTTGGTGAACGTAAAAAAGAAAGTGATCTAACCATTTTTAGAGATCACTGAAAAGTTACAATGTACTGGTCATGACAGAGGAGACAGTCGTTATGTTAAGAATTTATAGGTTTTTGAACTTGAACATTTTTACAAGTCCGGAATTAGTTCCAGCAAACCTGTACACAGCACTACTGGTGTGACATTATTTCCCTGATATTATATCCATGTGTCCCTTCTCCCAGGTCTGGTTCCCTGCCAGTGGACACTGACGGCCAGCACAGCCCAGAGATCCACCACCACAAGTCTGCTTCCCTGGACTCCGGTGTCGGCCCCTCCCCACTCGCAGCCATCGGGAACAACAACGGGGGAGCCGCAGCAGCTGCAGTACCAACCACACCCAACAGGAGGCCTCAGACTGCACCCTTGGTCAGGGAGAGGTGAGTGTAACTCCCATGGATCCTCTCTTGAATCCTCTTTACTCAAGAACACAATTCTTTTTAGTCTTATTTATCAATAATTGTTATTTTATCCTAAAGTATTGTTTTGGGTGGTGCTACTTTTCTGCTAGGTTTGTATGTTTGGTTTTCACTTAATTGACAGGGGTTTGACTCAGTATGCCCTGAATTCAAGGATGTGGTTGCCAGGAATAGTGTGGTCCTATAGTGAGAGGGACTTAACCTTTGAAAATATGAAGCACAAACCATATTATTATGGCAGAGTAAGTTTCATTATGTCAGATGTAATTCATTGACGCAATCTACATGTATATCTACCTCTAAGAGTACATGTATATTCATCAATCAGTGACTCTTTTTAAAGGTAAAAACACGTACCTCCAAATTTTCGATGTCTACTGTACATCTTGACCACGGAGTGACCTAATAAGTCTCGCGAGAACACGAGACTAGGTCGAGACTTGTGTGGATCTTCTGGCCTCCCCCGCCTCCTTGTGGAGTTGGGGTAAATACATGTAGGACTTGGGCAGCTCCACACAAGTCTCGACCTAGTCTCGTGTTCTCGCGAGACTAGGTCACTCCGTGATCAAGATGTACAGTAGACATAAAAAATTTGGAGGTACGTGTTTTTACCTTTAAAAAGAGTCACTGATTGATGAATATACTACTAACTGATAATTCTACGTGACTGATGAACCTCTTCAACGATACCTCTAAGAAGTTTGAAATCTCAGATTTCTTGTGTTTCTCGGTTTCCGCAGGTTTCGTGCGGTGGTTCCATACCCACCGCAGGGGGACGCAGAGCTAGAACTCAAGGTCGGAGACATCGTGTACGTGCATAAAAAGCGGGAGGACGGCTGGTTCAAGGGCACCCTCCAGCGAACGGGCAAAACCGGGCTGTTCCCTGGAAGCTTCGTGGAGAGCTTCTAGACCTGAAGTTCAACTGTGCACCAATGACTTAATGTTCTTAATGTGGGAATAACTGGCTTTTAGCTACCAAGACACAACCATGTAGCTTCTCGACAACGTCCAGTATGTGCAGGGGACATCTCACATGCAATCTTGGCTGCTTCACCGGAATGGTTAGTCTCAGAAAATCACGCCGACGTCACAGTGCTTTTAACATAATTCTATCTCCTACATGAAGAATCTTATCGTATCTACATCTACTCTTTGGTAACAAGTGCAACGTGTACCCAATCTTGATTATGCAAACAAACAATGATGGAAAGAAGACAGCAATCTGTTAGTGATTTTTTGTAGCGAATGCCCTGATGTACAATTGTGGGGAGGTTTTGACGGTGCTCAAGCTATGAGAGGATGTTACATCCAATTTCTGTGACACCTCGAAACGTCTAGTAGAGAGGGTTTGAACGTGGACCAGTAAGACGGAAGAAGACTTTGGGAAGTGTGGAAAAACATTGTAGGTAAGGAAATCCAAAAATCGTGTTGTCTTATTGTAACAAAACTGCCACTTACTGCCTTTATGGTATTATGATAGTTCCTCTTGAGAAGACACGTCAGCAGAACGTACTGCACCTGTGCAAAATAAGGATTTTTTACCATTTTCCTCGTTTGGTCAACATTGCATCAGAATTTCACCTGTTTTCCTACACAACATTTGAAAAAAACAAAACATTTGGGATGTCATCCTTAGTTACACAAATAAGACCTTAAACAAAAGACATTCTGCCAAAGTTCCATGCACAATACACGATGGGTTTTGTGCAGTCACAGTACTTTCTGCCGACATGCTTTCTAAGACTCAGTAACAAGCAATGTGTAAGTCTTGCATCAGTTTTAGGTCACAGACAGATGTCTTCACGGCATACTCAGAGACTAAAGTTTGTTATACCTCCATGTTCAGCAATCTGCAGTAAAAAGTGTAATATACAATCATGCATCTCCGTACAAGAATATATTATAGTTATGTAGTAGGCTAGCCCCCAGGCATAAGCCTGGAGTCAACATGAAACAAACTGTAGCCTTGGAGAATGCTGGGACCAAGGCTACAGTCCATAGTAAAGTCATGATGATATTTTTTACTCCATTGTAAGATCTTTCCATAGGTCATCATCTGAGATATCATTTCCCAGGAAGCAAACAGTTGTATATTTGTTTTTAACACACTATTTATTGTATGTACATTATGGCATACATGTATGGCACACATGTACAAGATATACAGTAGCACACATACAACATTGCAATATTAGAGCTGTACATGACTTGGGACATACCATAGCCATGTAAGACTTGCTGCCAAAAAGATTGTATACTACTGTATAGGCTATGCAGGTACAATGTAGCTGTAGCTGTCATTTTGTTCCACAGGGGCAATGAAAAGGGAGCTAGGAAATGCTTACCAACTTTTCATGTCAAGAAAGACGGCTAAATTTTCTGTACAATGTGCTTCTGTGATCACAGAACTGTTTGTTGAATTTGACTAGATTCAGATTCAAGTTTTAGATGCAAATTTTACCCGACCTCTGTGCATTCGTACGCGTAGCATCTCAAACACAAGAACCAACATTTAATAATTCTTAACAGTTTCAGTGAGCCAAAATGCAGTTTTCTCATCTTTCTCATCAAAAAGATCTAACAACTTTTCGTTCAGAATGTGCCTAAATTTGATATATTATGATACCATACTGTATGAGAGCTTTTTCCTGTTGGGATGCTTAAATGTTCTTTCTTCTAACTGTGCCTTTTATTGAATGTGTATTTGCGACCAAAATATTTCAATACCAATTCTGCTTTTTTTTTTGCATCGTGACAACCTCAGTAATGCCAAACGTATCAAATTTTTGTCATCTTTTTTTTCTACAATCATATTAAAAACATTTTTGGCAATGCCTCTAGGGCAGAACATTTTTTAAAAGATGAATATAATGTATTCTTTAACAGCTACATTTTTTCCAGCTTTTCATTTTGTCCATCTCTTGTTCTTGTGAGATGCTGCTATCTGCCCATCCGTCGTCAGTTGTCCTAATCATGAAGTTGAAAATTTTATGCCCAACATTTTCTCATGTCATGGCTAAAGTGAATAGTATCTTGACAAGGTTTAGAAATAAAAATGTCAAAACTTGCTCTAATTTTTTTCTGTATTAAAAGATTCCGTTGATTGGAAATGAAATTTTACCAGTGAGGGTGTAGAAATTTATTCCACCTGTACATGTATGATATTGAAAACTAGGTAAGACATGTGAGTATCTGTAGTAGACAGTAGTAGCAGGTACACTGTCATTGCCCAGGAGCCAACCATAGCACTGTGTAATCAATAATTGTGTTACAAAAAATAAACCAATTTTACTAAGAAACTTGTTCCTTGTCTTCTGTATTTTAGATTTTAATGAATATGTACAAATCTCGATTAACCCCACACATTTTACATGTAGTTTTAGCAAAAGTCGTGAAAGTTGCATTTAGGCCACACCAATTTAATTTCTTGGTTAACGGATTCGCCCGCTTCGTTTTTTTCTGATTTGAAAATAAAAATAAAAATTCAGAATCAACTGCAAAATGCTCATATTTTGCCCTGAACAGCTGAAAACAGTCCTTTTCTTCCTAGTTGTTACAGTTATTCCATCTTTCATTACAGTGGTATCATTAAAAGTTCAAAATTCATTGTTTAAATTTTGAACCAGCCTGGTGTGTTGACTTCATGGCTCCTATCGTACCATTTTGGGCCATAATAGGATCCATAGGCCCGCTCCATTATTATTCTAGAAAAATCCGTTAATCAAGAAATTAAATTGGTGTGGCCTTAAATCATAATAAACAAAAGCCTTGAAACTACATGACAGTCTATCTTGATAAAGACTACATTGATAGCAGCATATTTATGCCTAGTACATGTACACATCCCCCCCACACACACACACACTTTACTCTGTCCCTGGTGCTGAAATATCATTCCTTTACTGTTGAAAATTTTGACCAAGGTCATCACAGTACTTTTAGATTTTTGCACATAATTTCATTTTCTGATTGAATGCATGTGTATTATATTTTCCATCTAAGGCCACACTAATTTAATTTTATGGGTGACATCTGCGCGCTCATTCATTTTTGCCTCAAAAAAAAATCACCTCTGAGGCTCTGGCCTGGGTGCCATCCTCCGTAGTCCATGGTAGCTAGCGACAGTAGGGAGCCGGTGGTAACTACAGAGGACGGCACCCAGGCTGCCGAAGCTCCACGGAACTCAAGAACTTAGTACGGTACCGACCCCTAAATGTCGCAAAAGGCCAGTATGTGCCAGCTTGTCGTACTATAAGTCCTTGATATGTATTACTGAAAATTCACGTGGTTTAACAGCATTTTTCTTGGCTGGATTTTTTTCGCCTGCACGCACTAGGTTGGGGGTCTTCGGTGGATGTCAGCCATAATATTACAATAAAGTCAGTGTGCATGGCCTAATTGTTTTCAAAAGGTGAGTGAGGCTATTGGTTCTTGTCTGTCCTTCCTTCCTTGTTACTGTTGCCTGCCTTGAGTAGAGTGCCTGCCACAATGCCAGCGAAGATGATGGCACCGAGTCTCCTATTAGAACTGAACTTCTTCCAACAGTCTTCTGGCTTGTCAAACTTAGCAGTTGCAACCTGTGGAAGAGAAACAATGTTCTTATAATAACATACTGGGTTCATATATTATACAATGTACATATATGTGGATTTCTATTTGTTGCACTGTTACCACCTATGAAGTATGAAAGAAATTGATGGCAATGTTTTTTGAAACGTTTAGAATATGATCCATACTTCCTACATTCTGAGTGATGCAGGTAAAACATGTCTTTACAGGTGCAGGTAATTTTCAATGTCACCTGCACCAGTGTAGGTGTGCAGAAAAAAGGATTTCAAGCCCTGGAGCTGGATGTTCCTGTCGGAACTAACTCACCTGGTTGTACAGGTGTGCACCTGTCAATACTGACTCACCTGGTTGTACAGGTGTGCACCTGTCAATACTGACTCACCTGGTTGTACAGGTGTGCACCTGTCAATACTGACTCACCTGGCACATGGTTGTACAGGTGTGCACCTGTCAATACTGACTCACCTGGTTGTACAGGTGTGCACCTGTCAGGCCGACAGCTGCGTAGTACGGCCATGTCTGCTCGCACATGAGCCCACTGAGCAGCAGTCCAGAAACCATCGCAGCGCTGAAGCCAGACAGCCAGGCTCGCGTGTCCTCCCCAAACCTCAGGGCCGTGGACTTCACACCGATTAGGACGTCATCAGCCTTGTCCTGGAATTTCCAAAAATTATTTCATTAGGCCAAGCCAATTTAATTTCTTGGTTAACAGATTTTTCTAGAAAAATAATGGAGTGGGCGGGCGAAAAAAAATAAAAACAGGCCTAGGCATCCTATTATGGCCCAAAATGGTACGATAGGAGCCATGAAGTCAACACACCAGGCTGGTTCAAAATTTAAACAATGAATTTTGAACTTTTAATGATACCACTGCATTGAAAGATGGAATAACTGTAATAACTAGGAAGAAAAGGACTGTTTTCAACTGTTCAGGGCAAATTATGAGCATTTTGCAGTTGATTCTGAATTTTTATTTTTATTTCTTGCAAATCAGAAAAAAATGAAGCGGGCGAACCCGTTAACCAAGAAATTAAATTGGTGTGGCCTTAGGTTGGTAGAACGTGGGATATTGGGGTTCACTTTTACACAACAGTTGGGATTGTGTTCTGAACACAACAGCTGGGTAACAGTTGTCATAAAGTAAAGGCACCACCTAGCAGTAGATATGAGAACTGCAGCAGTGCGAATGAAGGGACACTTTGCCAGTACATTGTACAATTTTGTAAGTATGTAATTATAGCATTCCTACAGTAGCATTGAGGCCAATATCTTAGAAACACAATGAAAGTATGAGTACATCAGTGTTATACATGTATTACCTGATGAGCGTATATGGTATCGTACACCATAGTCCATGATGCCGCTGCAAGATACAGCGGGAGAACCACCGACCAATCACAGCTGCCCTTCACAGCGGCCCAGCCTAGCAGCGCTCCCCAGTTGATGGTTAGACCTTCAACACAGCAAAGAATTGGTATTTCTTACCTTCTACCAAGAACAGGCCGCGAAATTGACTTCTCTTCCTATTGTCCCAGCACTGTCCTGAAGATAAATTTCAATTGTCCCAAAGTGAGTCCCAACCTGTTTTGGGGAAGTACAAATGTATTGTATGACTCTTCATCTTGAAGTCAACTTCATTTTGCCTGCATTCTGACTACCAGAGTAGACAGGAAATTTGTGGGGACTTTTCCAGAACCAAAAGCCAGGACGTGTGCCTGATAAAGGGCTGACATTCTAAATCTGAAGTTGATTATTTTTCTATTGTCCCAAAGTGTCTTTTTAGTTGTCCCGGACTAAATTTTAGTGGTCCGTGGCCATCGGGACACTGCTAATTTTGAGCCCTGAAGAAGGTTGTATTTTTGGTAGCACTCATGTGTGTGTGAGTGTGTGTGCGTGTGTGTTTGTGTGTAACACGGTAACTTGAGAGAAGGCTAAGATGAATAGTCTTGATGTTTGGTAAGTGGGTAGGTCTTGATGAGACCTCGAAATGATTAGATTTTGGGCAACCTGGCAGCTTGCTATGGTGCTGCAGCGAAACTTTCAGTTTTGATATATCATGATCTAGACATGATAGGGCCACGAACTGTGGCTGGTAGATGCCTCTTGTGCTCGTTTTCAACTTACCCAGCACTGCCTGTGGCCAGTAGGTGACTCTTTTGAACAGTGGGTAGGTTGAGACCAGCAGCATGGAGGAGAATCCGAGAACCACACTGGAACACATGCAAATACAACTCCTTTACTTTAGTGATGCTGCAGAAGAGTTATGTATCTGTATTGGTATAGCCTGCATAACCTCCCTTTGAAGTGACAGCTTCGCAGGCACTCGGCGTGGCGGCAGCTATATCACACCGAACGACTTGTTATGCTCAATCTGTGCACATTTGATTACTGCAGAAGTTGTTTAAAACTTTCTAGTGATGATGCCCCTACTGTGCTTGGTGGCAACGAGTTCCAGTCTACGATAGTTCTGGGGAAATACGAGTTTTTGAATACCTCAATTCTTGGTTGATAACTCTGATATTTGAAGGCATGACTGTTTCTTGTTCTTTTCTGGGCTGGTATCAGATACAATTTAATAGTCATTTTGTATATGGATATTCTATATGCATGCCATTCAAAACGTCCACAAGATATCCCTATAATTTATCCAGTGGTAGAGTTGCCAGACACAGCACAGTGTACTGTCTAACAGGGGCTATCTTACCTGTAGTTGTTGAGTGACAGCAGGATGCACAGCGCTACACTCAGCTGTCCTCCCAGGAACAGCACAGCTTCACGAGGGCTGATCTTACCGCTGGCTATCGGGCGTAACCGCGTCCTAGCAACCTAGTGAAAGGAATACAACTTTAATTTCTAAAATATGCACCACCACTTTAAAAATTGTATTGTACATAAATAACTGTGTCCTGAAAAAAGTAGGGTTGCTACGTGGGGATTATCTTTTTTTTTCCTTTATTTTCTCAGACTTTTGCGATCTCCAGTGAGCCAACTTATACAATACAGTTTAACAAAGTGAAATTTGCATAAGGACACTTATATTTTCTATGCCAATGTTTGAAAACTGATTGTACAACGTGTCATCACTCAGGTGTCAAATCACAGAGCTAGAAATGGTCGATCAGTTTGAAAAATGTACGTCACTTGCAGGGGTTCACCCAAAAGAAGGCTAGGGTTGACAGTTTTGTCTAGGGTCGGTCAGGAAACAGGAAACACATTTTTTTTCCTATAGTCCTTACCTTCCTATCAATGTCCCTGTCCCACAGGTCATTAATGGTGCAGGCTGCTCCCCTCATGATGACAGAGCCCAGACCAAACAGGAACAGCAGGCCGAGGTCAGGAAACTGTCCCGGGGTGGCCGCCATGCCGATACTCCAGGCACACGGCCAGAACAACAGCCATGAACCTGCAGAGGCAACAATCAAACTAGAAATGTAACATTTGCAAAGCAAATGCATAATATTTACCTTCCCATATGGTCTGCTCTGTAAATTCTGACTCAAACACATATTAAATATACATGGTCAGAGGGGAGTCTAAATCCCTCCTGCTATAAAATTGCAACATGATGTAACCCAACATCAGTTACCATGGTGACAGACGTCTGGTTCAGGTCATTGACCTTATTGGTTTGGAGAAGACAAAGAGGAAACAGCAAAAAAAATATGTTTTCCTTCAGGAAACATAAAAATCAGAATCTAGAAATAGTGGAGAGGACGTAGAACCTGCCACTCAGCCATTCTACACAACTGGCAAACTGCTGTAAATTAGTCAGGATAAAGTAAAAAGCGTGTAATATTTTCTATCAGCCTTACCTATGGGCTTGTCCAATCGAATGAGCTCTAGATATGGCCGCACATGTTTTGGACTCTGCTCCACGATTTTTCTGGGATTCAGCGTAAAGTGTCGCCTGCCGTCACCCACATACGGAGGAACAAACCGTCCGGGCGACACCAGTCCAGATACCCATGGATTCTGCAGTGTGCTACCTAAGAACGTTTTAGAACGGGATACAGTGTGTTTCCTCTTGCAAATTTGTTCCTGAGTTCTTGCAAGAGACAAACCTTCAAGGTGACAGTGTTCTGACAATCCGCGTTTATTCCTGGCGTGTCTGTTGCTTGTAACTGTTTTGTAAAAACTTGACAGACATTTCGAAGCTCCCACTGAGTTGTAGCATGTAGGATGGAAGAGGAGGTTTTGTGACAACTTGTTCACAGTCCAAGTCTTGTTTATCACATGTTGCACACCTGGGTGTAGAAGTCTTGGCAGAATCATATAGGCCATGGTTATACCTGTAACAACATTATAATGTCATTTTAAAAAAGGCAATAGAGATGGCAGACTTCACCCCTTCCTAGTACCAACTAATCTTTTGGACCCTTCATTCTGGCCTGGCCCAAAAATAATGTACAGCTGCAGAATTCAGTGGCAACGCTGAATTATTCTTCATAATGATATCAAACTGCAGAAACGAACGCACGCACATGCACACACGAACACATAATTATTATGTCGTCTTGTTACATGTTATAGATCATTTGTTATTTTACTTCCAGCATATGTGAAATTCTACAAAATGTACTTGATCAAACCACCATACCTCCGTTTTAATTAAATCATCATAATATAATCTACTCCTCGGCATAATTTCATGATCTCATGAGCACGAAACCTCACCTGCCAAGACAACCTTGCCCTTTCACCTTTGACCTTGCCTTAAGACCTTTGACCTCAAAATGGCGGCCGCCAGTGTTCGATGGTGAGTTTGACGTGTGTTTTTCACCGAATTTGACGATTTTACGTCCTCTCTGATAGTATTTCCAAGGTTTTAATGTTTCTTTGTTATAATAACAAATATTGTGTCTCAAGCAGGAAGAAAGATAGGTCTCAGTTCATAAGAAAAACACGTACCAGTAACCTACGGACAGACGTGCAAAATGTTAACCGGAGAAAAGTTTAGAAACCAAATGTATGAAAACTTCTAAGATTATCTCTGTTGTTAATTATGACATTACATAATTTTTTTTTGTTTTGTTGTTGTCCTTGTAATTGTGTCTAACTGTTCGTTAGACGTAATTGAAAGCATGGTGGCGCACTTTCTCTGGATCTGGGTGCTTTCTTTGAGTTGGCCGCTAGGTGGTGTTGTGTTACATTGGTGTACATCAATGGTAATCTCCAAGCAGATGCTATGGTGACAACTTGTCACAAGGCAATATCTATTTGATAGATCCATTTGTAGGTTATTGGCTACACTGCCAATGTGGGTGGGGGAGGGGTCTTGCCACTATAGGATCTTCTTGTTCTTCTAATGTTCTTGTTCGGGAACGTGCAGGGGAGCTGTGCGATGCGTTATTGCTGCTTCCTCAGGTGTTGTAGTACTGCAGCGTTGAACTTCGTGGGTTCCGCAGTATCAGTTATCTCTTGGGGCAAAATGTTCCAATCTCTGACAGTTTGTGGAAAATATGAATATTTGTAGCAGTCTTTGTGAAACGTTAGTGGCTTGTAGGAGTTGAAGTGTCGCGATTGGCGCGGGATAGGCGTCAACAAGGTTTTGATGCTTGGAAAGTATCAAAATGTGTCTTTCAGAATTAAATGTAATATGAGGCATGATTGTGTATGTTTACCGAAGGAAAACATATTGTTTTTGCTCAGTTTCTACGCCTCTTCTTCTGCTCTAAACAAATACTTGGTCAATGACCTGAACCACATGTCTGTCACCATGGTAACTAGTGTTGGGTTACACCATGTTGCAATTTTACAGCAGGAGGGATTTAGACTCCTGTCACCATATACAATGTGTGATGGTGTAACAGAGCAGACCATATGCAAAGGTATCTAGATCTGTATCTGTATCGGTATAGCCAACAATAACTATAACCGCCCTTCGGCATAACACACCAGCTTCGCAGGCACGCGGCGTGGTGGCAGCTAGCTATATCACACCGAAGGACTTGTTACACTTAATCTTTGCACATTTGATTGCTGGAGTTGTTTAAAGCTTTCTAGTGATGATGCCCCAACTGTGCTTGGTGGCAACGAGTTCCAGTCTACAATAGTTCTGGGGGAAATACGAGTTTTGAATACCTCAATTCTTGGTTGATAACTCTGATATATAAAGGTAAACATGATGCAAATGTTACATTTCTTGTTCCATGTTGTTTTGCTCCTCAGCCTTGTGAAGTCTCTTGTCTCGTCCCACCGTGTGATGGTGTTCTCCAAGTCCACCTGTCCCTTCTGTATGATGGCTAAAGACGTCTTGAGCGAGGCTGGAGTTCCTCAACCCAAGGTCTTAGAACTGGACCACATAGAGGAGGGGCAGCAAGTACAGGTGAGGGTTAGGGAAAAAAATTGTGTTTCCTGTTTCCTGACTGACCCTAGAAAAACCTGCTGACCCTAGACGTGTTTTCGGGGGTGGACCCCTGCAAGGGACATACATGTAAATAACTTTTAGAGCTTGTCAACCTTTTCTAGCTCCATGATCTGTCACCTGCTCACCAGTGCACCCACAGAAATAAAATGGGTGCACAGCTTAAGGTGCACATGCACCCAGTATTTCCAGCCCTGTGACACTAAGGATAACTTGATGGTTGACACATTACTTCAATCAATCAATCAATCAAATGGTGTTTTATTCATAAAAAACGTGGACTTTGCAGCCAAAGGCTGAATTACGTCTAGTTGTACATGCAAATTCCTTACACATTTATTTACATTTATTTACACAGGCATTAACACAAATATCCACATCATTATTGACAACGTCTTTGACATATAGTCTAAGACAAACAGACTGTTCAATAGGTGGATCATATATGAGATGCTACTCTGTTTGTACCGCTCAGTTCTACATTTGGTAAGAGTCAGTTTGTTACTGGAACGAGTGGTGTGCTCAGTGGTGGTGCCCCTCCTGGGCGGTAGCCAGTGTTGGAAGTCCTGTGATCAGAGAACTTTCCCAGCAAAGTTCTTTACAGACATTTAGTAGATGACTTGGAATGTTTTCAATGTGGTTCTCTCCCAACAGGATGCCCTGTTCGAGCTGACTGGCATCAGAACCGTTCCCAACATTTTTATCAGTGGAAAATGCATAGGAGGAGGCACAGACACGGCAAGGTTATACGAGACAGGAGAACTTCAACAATTACTCACAGAAGCTGGAGTTCTTAAGAAACAGGAAGATTCTTAGCTGGAATTTCTTAACTAGCAAGGACTAGTACTATAGGAGTTGGGTACCAATACACTACTGGACCGCTACTGAATCGGAAAACCACTTTGGACCTGTACAAAAACCTGAACCTCCATGGAACAGTTGTGGACCTGAACCAGAACAAACATTACCGGTACAAATTGTGTCATTAATTTTTAGACTCTGTACACTTGAAGAAGCCACACAGGCGAAACCGGTTGTGTGACAGGCTGAATGAAAGTTCTAAACAGGAACTATATATGCGGCTCCAGATGTCTTACTGAGGGACAACTGTGTGTGCAAGATGTCGGTTAGCTTGAGGAATGAATCCCCTGTACTATATACTATCGGTACTAATTGTTTCATCCAATACAAAGTCAAGAATGACTGTATGAAGTTGTCACATAAAACTAAAAGGAATAATCACATCTGGAATTGTAAATAAACTTGGTCATGGTGTGATGACACTCATGAGATTCAATATATCTGTTTACATTCATTCTAATCATTTCATATATGCCACTAAGTCTTATTTATTTAGGATTTACAACTGAGTATTTAATTTGGAAGATAAATGACATATTGATGACATCTAGGCAAAGTTTAACTAATCGTTAGTAGTACATCGTTAAATAGTATTACATAAATGTACAAAAGTATTTGGGTGCATTGGCTCCAATTTTTGGAACACTAAGGTGCACATGCACCCAGTATTTGGAGCCTTGAGGTGTGACATCTGATGTTTGAACGTAATTTGCTGTCTGGATAAACAGTTTTCAAAAGAATCCATTGTGATGATTCAGACTCTTTTATGTGCTTTCAAAAGACCTGTACCCTTTTACAAAAAGTCCCGCCGACGCCTTAATGATTAGAATCAAGAAATCCACTTTAGTTAGCTATGGGGGGGCAACTACATTAATATTCATTTCAATATATTTTTCTGCATATAAGTCTACCAAAGGTACAAAATGCAGTTTGCAGCCAACTGGAGATTTTGACAGATCATCAGTAACATCTCAAGTCAGTTGGACACACTGCCAGCTAGTTAGCAAGGAATTGGGGCTGCGTTAACTTAAGGTAAGTACTGGGTGTTTGATGACTAGGGTACCTGTTGTCAACAAATGTATGTTACAGAATAGCTAAATAACAAACCACAAATCTCACTGCATTCAGTATTGACAAACCAGGCTCAAGCTATATTCATCTGTATAGATGTCGGAACGTCTGTTTTTATGTTTACCGAACATATATTTTTTTTGCTCTGTTTCCTCGTCTTCTCCAAACCAGTAAGGTCTGTCACCATGGTAACTAGTGTTGGGTTATACATGTATCATGTTGCAATTTTAAAGCAGGAGGGATTTAGACTCCTTTCTGACCATATTATGAATGTATTTTGTTTGAGTAAGAATAAACAGAGCAGACCATATGCAAAGGTAAACAAGCATTTGCTTTGCAACTTTTACATGTAGTTTCTAGTTCAAAATGATTTTTAGAATCCTAAATAACAGGACAATTCTGCAAAATACAGACCCAAATGTCTTGCCCACAGGAAAAGTTGCACAAAAAGCCTACTTTCTGGTAAACGCCGAGTTCCAAGTCATGGAAAAGATGTCAGTGGAAGAGGCCAAGAACCAACCTAGCAATGAACCTGGACACATGATAATGAACCATCATCCCAATACAACAACTGGATATGATCATGATTTCCCCCCGTCGTGTTCAAGGACAAATTTGACTGGACACTATAACACAGAGGACGGAGCTATCAGATCTGTAAACGAAAAAGTCAATCCAGCATATCCACCAAATCCACTAGCTATCTCCATCACTGGCACAGACAGTCCAAGCATTGGGGGAGAACGGGCTGGGAAAGACACCAAGAACTCTGACAATACTGTTTACACCATGGAACCGGGCAGTGCAGAAAGCAATGCTATATATCCAGCAAACAATGGGAATCCAGACTGGTCCACCAGCATATTGAAAGACAAAGAACTGAACGCCTTGTACCCCAGGCGAGTTGCTGATTCAGAAGAAAGTTTTCCTGGCAAGAACTCTGCACGCACTGGAGACGAATCACAACTGGAAGAGGGTACGGATGTTGGAACTGAGCACATAACTGGCTGTGCAATTCAGCCGAATCTTGAAGCCGTATATAACAACATCGCAGAAATGTCTGTCGAAAACAATCATTACGACACAGGCTTTACTCCGAATGCCCCTTCAAGTACAAACGTATTAGATCTTTCTTCATCCAGTGAAGAAGCAAAGGCAAAATGCGATGCTGGGACAAGAAAACTACCAAATGACAATCAAGCAAAACGCTATCAATATCCATTAACAAACACTACTGGAACTGGTGAAAGATCGCAGTCTGACACTGTCCCCACCAGAGGAAATACTGTATATGAGATTGAGAGTAGGCATGATGATATCATTGATGGTACTACTCTACCATCATCCAATGAAAAAGCGATCAAACAACAGAATGCAGAGACAAGAAAACGATTGGAAGTCAGCTTCAAGCAAGCAAAACATGCTCTGAATCCAAACACCAGCAGAGCTGGTGAAAGATCTCAGTTTGACACCACCAATACTGGATATGAGAGCAGGCGTAACAATATCTCTGACGACGATACTATTAAACCGTATGCTGTTGTGTACAACACAGAAGCAAACCCTTCTGAGAGTGTCAGGAGCAACACTGGTGCAAGTCACCCTCGGAATCCCAAAGCTTTTTCAAATCCTATGTACGGAGCAGACGTCCTCAAGCAAGCAACTGATGGTGACAGAAGTGATGCTACTGACGTTCAGAAGCCTCCGAATCCTCCAGACACATCTGGTTTGAATCCAACATACAGAAATGCTCACAAACAGGCAGATGGTGAGATAAAGCTAACCTCAATTTTTGATTATGTATAATACCTTTGATATCAAATGTTGCTTGTTTGCTTAATGCTTATTTCCTAGCTCGTTGTATGTCAGTTTTGTTGTCCTGCTGTTACCATCATCATCCTTACACCATTGGGTGAAGAATAACTTAGGCCAAACCAATTTAATTTGTTGGTTCTCGGATTCGCCTCTTCATTTTTGTCTGATTTGCAAAAAAAAAAAAAATCCTGGTTCTGAGTCAACTAAAAAAATGTTCATATTTTGCCCCCAACAGTTGAGGAAAGTCCCTTTCTTCCTAGCTCTTACAGTTTTTCCATCTATCAATGCAGTGGTTTCATTTGAAGTTCAAATTTCATTGCTCAAATTCTAACCCAGTCTTTTGTGTTGACTTCATGGCTCCTATCGAAGCATTTGGGGCTTTGATAGGATGCCTAGACCTGTTTTTATTCTTATTTTTTTCGCCCTGTCACTTCATATTTTTTTCTGAAAAAATCCGAGAACCAACAAATTAAATTGGTGTGGCCTTACTAGTAACAATTTGATTTGATTTATGAACTTGTCAACAAGTTTGGATCTTTTAACTCAATGACAGCGCTGCATAAATTCTGACTATTGAGCTATAATATTATCACACTACTTTCCGGAAGGGATATTTTTAAGCCTGCATTGTGTTTATAATATTATTGCGATGTCACCCATCTTTTAAGTCATGCATCATTACTGGTAATCTTGTTGTTAACGTGCACGTGATTTCTAAAATTGTCTGCAGTCATATTTTGAACACTACTTTTGCATTATATACTTTCAGGACGTTCGGCATCTTGCTATACTGTTCTTCGGCGTTGCTTGATTGTTGTGTTGGTGGTCTCCCCTTTCCTAATAGGATTGCTTGCTGGAATAACCGTAGGAACACTGAACATCCAGTCGGTAAGCTAATATTGAAGGGGCATTAGGCCACACTGTTTTAATTTTATGGATGACATCCGCGCGCCATTGATTTTCGCCTGACAGTGTTCTCAAAAAAAAGATCACGTCCTCAGAGGCTGTAGCCTGGGTGCCATCCTCCATAGTCCACGGTAGCTAGAACAATTATAGGGAGCTGGCGGTAACTACGGAGGATAGCTCCCAGGCTGTCTAAGCTCTACGACTCAAGAACTCAGTATAGTGCTGACTCATAAATGCCGCAAAAGGCCAGCACGTTCCGGCTTGTTGTAAAAGTCGCTAAGCAAGGCTACCAAACTACTAAAGTGAGTACAAGTACAAAATATGTAGTACCTACATGTATCTACCACCCATGTAGTGTTACTGGTAACATTGCTGTTAAGTATTTAACGTGATGCCTGAAAATGTTGACTGTTGTTGAACACCAAACATGAACACTATTATATACATCATACTTCCCAGAGGTTTGGAATCTCAGATTGCTTACTACTCTTTTTTTTAGGTCATCCCTACAAATGGTTCTGAAGACTTGGGTGCTTTGAATACTACTCACCCTACTGACACTATTACAGACCCTATTGAGACTACTGACCCTACTGACACTATTACAGACCCTATTGACACTACTACTGACCCTACTGACACTACTACAGACCCTACTGATACTACTACGGACACTACTACAGACCCTACTGACACTACTACTGACCCTACTGACACTACTACTGACCCTACTGACACTACTACTGACCCTACTGACACTACTACTGACCCTATTGACACTACTACTGACACTACTACTGACCCTACTGACACTACTACAGACCCTACTGACACAGCTACAGACTGTACTGACACTACTGACACTACTACAGACCCTACTGACACTACATGTACCACAGACCCTACTGACACAACTACAGACCCTACTGACACTACTACAGCTGTTATCACAAGTTCAACTTCTGATACCACCACACTATTCATCGGTACAAGCACTCATGGTACATGTATCTATTTATTTCTATCAATCAATATTGGTTGATCTAACAATCAATGGATATGTCCATATGAAAAATGTACATATTGTTTCGAGGGTGTCTGTGTTTCGGCATATCTGTGGTCACACAATTTCTGAAGAATTTCTATCAAACAAAAAGCCACTTTATATTATTCCAACTAGATAGATTTAAACATTTTGAGGGAAGCTTTTCCAAAATAACCAGTTAATCAGATTCCATTTCTAGTGACTAATTAAGTCTGAGCATTAAAATGTAAGTCTGAGAATTCATACATTACAAGTCTCTCAAAGCGTGTGTCAATTGTCCCTGTCCTTATAGTCCATGGGCCGAGACCGTTTTTTGTACCACCAAGACGGACCAGTGCTACCATAGATTTTTTGAATCTGCAATAACCAAAGTTTATTTTGATGTATGATAGCAAGTCTGTATGAGTAGCTTTCTTGGTGTAATCACGTGACCAAGTGACGTCATCAAAATGGACCTCGTGCCTTGGGACTAAATCCAAAGGGCCGGGAAAAAAATATCAAACATCAATAATTCTCGGCAAAAATTGGTTTGTAGACAAAACATGCCACAGTAATCACAACACAATAGATTTTTTGCCGATATTCTGCATTTTTTAGGAAGTTATACGCCTTTAAACTCCGATTTTGAGGGTAATTTTTTGTGTAAAAAATCATTGTTTACTTTCCAAAATCAGGCATTTATTCAGGCTACCTATGGGGCCTTGTGTAACAAGTTATGATGATTGGCCATATTATGCGCTGCATTTTGGGCTTTAAATCAACAAAATCGGTCAATGCTATCTGTAGTTACGAGTGTTTAAAGCATTGCACCCCATCAGACTGATTATCAAATCGGCGGGAATATAGCAATGCATCATGGGTAATTTGAAGACAGTGTGACTAACAAAATGCGTCCTGTGCCCTGGCATTAAACCCAATTAACCTGTAATTTGGTACGGTGTGCCTTGGACATCTACCCATAGGACGTTGTTAACTTTTATGCCATTAACAACGTGAAATTACTTATTTTTGGACTTTTCAGCTACTTCCGACCATAAATGGTTAATTTATATATGAGTCATTGCACGAGAAACCAGGCAGAGGTCGGAAGATGGGGTTGGCCAAGTCGGCTCAAACTTTGTATGCGAGATAGGTATGGGGAACTGTGAACAACCATATACTTAAAACCCTCCAGATATTTGTCATTATGGAGATCTGGGACCCCCCTCCGAGAGCCTCCGAAATCAGGTAATTTATGGCTGAAAATTACTGAACTTACGATGGCTGCACTGATGATTCTGATAAAGATATGGATAAAACGTTTATACTACCACATAGCATAGCTTTTCTAGTTTTACAGACCCAAAGCTCAAGAGGACACATTGAAGTTAAGAGGGTGTGACAGGGGGTGACTGGAACCAATGAAAGCAGAATTTACATCTCTATGCATTTTATTCATTTTTAAGGCACATTATCTCATATGGGCAGTGGCTTTGGTTAATGGTTTTACTGTGGTTTGAGAGAGGAACATCTACTGATTCAAAAACAAGCGTCGTTGGGTTGGGCCATACATAACGCGAGCCGTGACTGAGACTGAGGGGTCTTTAGTGGGGGATTTTCGGGTTTTGGACTATACTAAATCGGGCAATGACTTCTCACTACTGGGTACGTTAGGGCCAATGTGGACATGTCGATGTGTGATAATCATTAGACAAGTATCAAAGAAGCTTTAATGAATTGGGAATGTTGATTTGGGCTCTATATGGGGGATATGAGAATCCGAGATAGCTTGTTGCGACAGAGGCATGCTATCATAAAACTTGCTACCGAGACTACACTCGGGACGTTCAGGATCAAACAGGTGTTGGGAAGAAAGCAGAAGACGAGCTCCTTGAGTGTTCCAACGCAGAGTCGCAAGCGTTTATGATACTGTATGACTACATCAGATCTGATCTGCTGCAGAATCCAAAGATAGTCAGCATGACCTTTAGTTCCTCCTGTGCCTAATGGCACATCGGGCAGCAAGCTTCCACTTCTTTTTGTCAGCGGCCACTGTCTCCTCCTCCTCCCAGGGGATGTTTGCCCTTCTTAGGTCGTCTTGGAAGGTCCTGCGCCAGGTGTGTTTCGGCCTCCCCCTATTTCTTCTGCCGTTGTGGGGTACCCAAGTCATCGCTGTCTTAGAGTGCCTTCTGCTGGGCAGACGGAGGGTATGTCCTGCCAGCTGCATCCTCTTCTTTGTTACGATGGTACTCAGAGGCTTGGACTTGGCCCTGTTCAGGATCTCATCGTTATGTGGTCCTGCCACCTCACCTTCAGTATCCTCCTCAGGTTTCTCTGGTGGAAGGCGTATAGCTTTCTGGATGCTTTAGCTGTACATTTCAAGGTTTCGCTAGCGTAGATTGCAGTGGGTAGGACAATACTGTTGTATAGTCGGAGCTTGGTGTCAAGGTTGATGGTGGTTGCTGACCAGATGGAGTTCATCCGTCCGAACACAGAAGCAGCTTTCCCAACCCTACAGTTAATGTCAGGCTCTACTTCTCCGCTGTTGCTTATAACACTCCCAAGGTAGGTAAACTGATCCACGACCTCTACCTGACTGTTGTTGACAGTGATGTTCAGTCGAGGTTGACCTGTGTGGTTTCCCACCTCCATCGCCTTGGTCTTCTCAGAACTCACCCGTAGCCCAACTTTTCCAGAAGAGGTCTCCAGCTTCGTGGTAAGGTGCTGTAAGCCTTGGTTATTCTCGGACAACAGAACAAGGTCATCTGCAAAGTCTAAGTCCGCAAGTCTGGACTCTTCCCTCCACCTAATGCCCTCCTTCCCGTCTCCAGTGGTCTTCCTCAAGACAAAGTCAATTGTGATTAAGAACAAGAAGGGGGAGAGGATACAACCCTGTCGGACCCCTGTGATGATGTTGAAGAAGTCTGTTGTCCCTCCCTCCGTTGGGTCAGCATGACGCAGTTGTATATGAAATTCGCATCATTTGTCAATGCGCAAGGGGTAAAGGAAGTCAAAGATTCCACGAGGACACACTTCAGGAGAAAACTTGAAGCAGAATTCCATGACACGTTAGACTTTGAAGAGCTCTTAGGCAATAACAAAGTTTTTGTTATCCCGCGAAGTCTCTACAGGCTGGATCTAGCCAGGTTCGCTGCAGAGAAGTGCAACACGGATGAAGAAACATCGAAAACCGTGCTCCGCTTACGGGAAGCAATCCAGGGACAAGAGAGTAAAGTGCCATGGAGCCTAAACCTTGTAAACTGACAGAACATGCTGTGAGCATTCCAGATAATGTGAAAGAGTTCTTGTACGTTCTGATGACAGGCAAAACGGAATTTCCGGGTCTGCAGTCTTGTCCTGAAAGGGTTACACGCCTTCTCATGTCGTTTGGACAGGACTTAGTATTCGCAGTGAGCGGTGGACGGCAGAGGCCCCCTAATCACATTTTTGCTTCCATATGCCTTAAAATCACTCACAAACAATACCCAACTCATTCAAATCCTAAACCGATGTGGTCATTGAATTGCATATTCACAACTTAAAGAGATATGTGGAGGTGACAACGTGGCAGGAGGAGGCATGGAGAAAGAACCTACTATGGATCTTAGTGCGCATGCATGCAAGAGGAAAGCAAACGTAACCATCCCTGGCTGGACTGGATTCAACAATCGTTTCCGAAATGACCAACAGGTAACAACAGATAAAGTGTTATATATATGCCACTATAAATGCCCCAGCAACGAACATGTCTACTGTATACGAAGTAATGAAGAAGTCACTACAGATCAAAGAATCCTTGAATCTCAGAAGCATTGCAGTTGTGTTTGATCAAGCTCTGTACGCCAAAGCTATTGAAATCAAGTGGAAACACGGATCCCTGTTTAATGACCTAGTGCTGAGAATGGGAGTATTCCACACAATCTGCACATTCTTGTCGGTGATTGGCAAGCGCTTTGAAGACGCCGGCTTACGAGACATATGCGTTGAATCTGGGATCATTGCTGAAGTATCCGTCCCTGGCGTGATGGGAGGTCGCAAATATAAGCGTGACATACGGTTTCATAAGCTAATGTTTGAAGCTCTCAACAGGCTAGCGTGGACGGGGTTCCTGTCATGGACAGAGGAGCATTACGAAGGGACAAAGCCTCTTATTGATGATTTCTTCACAGAACTGGAAAAGTCTGGAATCACTTCATGAAATCCATGCGAACAAGAATTCAACGGCATCATGGCAAACCCATCATTTGAAGTTGTATCAGATCTCTTCTAAGCCTATCTGCACTAACTCCGTCATGAAAACGGGAAGCTTTCAACCTTTTGGATGTCTTCTGTCAACATGGTGCAGTTGCTACTGGGACTGTTGAGAGGGACTCGGGAGGGAGATTGGGATCTCCACCTCTCATCTATCAAAGACCCTGTCGGGAGAATACCTGTGGGTCAGACATGTGAGGAAATTGTCAACAAAGACACTCAAACTCCTGGTGGAACGAAAGGGTTCAGCCTTAAGCCAAATGCTGTAAGCAAGTACTATCTTGTCGCTTAGTATCGGAGCAGATTTCTGAGGCAACTGAAGAGCATGTTGCATATTGATGGCTCGCCAGCTCATCACAGTGATCTACAAAGTGCAAGGATAGCAAGGGATGAAGCTGATGTCCAGTCTATAGTATCCATTCTTCAAACCACTTGGCTCAATCCATTCAACCATGATCTCCAGGATCTTGTCAGTCTCTCTACTGGAAAGATTGCCACTCCTGAGGTAGAAACCGATTTGCTTCGAGCTCAAGATATCGTCCCGAGTGTAGTCTCGGTAGCAAGTTTGTGATAGCATGCCTCTGTCGCAACAAGCTATCTCGTATACCCATATCCCCCATATAGAGCCCAAATCAACATTCCTAATTCATTAAAGCTTCTTCGATACTTGTCTAATGATTATCACACATCGACATGTCCACATTGGCCCTAACGTACCCAGTAGTGCACGTGAGAAGTCATTGCCCGATTTAGTATAGTCCAAAACCCGAAAATCCCCCATAAAGACCCCTCAGTCTCAGTCACGGCTCGCGTTATGTATGGCCCAACCCAACGACGCTTGTTTTTGAATCAGTAGATGTTCCTCTCTCAAACCACAGTAAAACCATTAACCAAAGCCACTGCCCATATGAGATAATGTGCCTTAAAAATGAATAAAATGCATAGAGATGTAAATTCTGCTTTCATTGGTTCCAGTCACCCCCTGTCACACCCTCTTAACTTCAATGTGTCCTCTTGAGCTTTGGGTCTGTAAAACTAGAAAAGCTATGCTATGTGGTAGTATAAACGTTTTATCCATATCTTTATCAGAATCATCAGTGCAGCCATCGTAAGTTCAGTAATTTTCAGCCATAAATTACCTGATTTCGGAGGCTCTCGGAGGGGGGTCCCAGATCTCCATAATGACAAATATCTGGAGGGTTTTAAGTATATGGTTGTTCACAGTTCCCCATACCTATCTCGCATACAAAGTTTGAGCCGACTTGGCCAACCCCCCATCC